TAGAACGCCTTCACCAGCTGCGGTCCAAAAGAGTGCGGTTGATCCCTATAATTTTTGGTGTTCATGTTTTAATGTAGGGTGTGATGTGTCATAGAGCATAAACTCCGCTAGACCACAAGAGAATTCCCAAACCCTTGAACCGTGAACCTTTTTTAAAATATAAGAGTGTGAGTGTACATGCTTTCTTTATTTTTATAACTTTAAAACCATGGAAAACACAAACCACCCCAAGGCCCAAGAGCTTATTCAGAAGGGAGCTTCCCCCCCAAACCGCTTCGATTCACCCCGGCCAGGTCACGGCCAGCGACATGAGCCCTGCCGAGTGGTCAGCAGATTCCAGCCACGAGTGGTGCCCGCCAGGGCACGGAGATCTCTACCCAGCCATGCTCGGGACCGGGGTCGGGAATTCGGGCATCCGAGGTGGCTGGGTGGAGGGATGAGGAAGCAAGGATTTGTGGCTTTCCCATAAGGAAACCAGACAAAATGAGACAAGTTAGGCTTTACAGGTTTGAGATTGTCATGCCTGAGATGAAGAGATTGCTAGACATCACCCCACCACGATAACGGAAGGCAGTTCCTGGAACAAGCCCTGCAGTTGATTGTTGTGCACATCTTGCAGCAGCATCAAAGACGTAACCACAGCGTGGAGAGAGAGAGAGAGAGAGTGTATTTCTGAGAAGATTAGGTGAGAATCAGCTGAGCTTGGAGGTTTACATCGACCTCATTTAAATGGTGTGCCATTTTTGACCGGTTCTTCAAGGTTCTTCTTCCGCCAGGAGCGGGACCTTAGAGAAGTTGCTGAAGAAAGGCGTGCAGAGAACGCATGAGAACGCATCAGACACCACCCAGGGAAGCCATAATTAGTCGATTCTTCTGTCTAATGCCGATGGTTCGACGTGTGACCTAACCTAAGAATTCGTTTGGGACCGCATCTGAAGATTTGTGGCAGGAGCACGGAGAGAGAATTGGTTTGGGTCAAGTGAGAATGGAATCGTATCAGAGGTTCACTTAGGGAATGTTCATGCACGAATTGGGCGGTTGACGACTGCCAAGAGCGCTTGAATTGATTGGTGCGGTTGGCCAAGAAAGACACGTGAGAGAGGATAGTAGAGAGAGAGAGAGAGAGCCAGAAACTTGCTGCAGGTTACAGATACATGTTCGTCTCCAACTCGGACAACTTGGGTGCTACCATGGACCTCAAGATCCTCACACACTTCGTTCAATCAGGGGCACCCTTCATGATGGAAGTGGCCGAGCGGACAGATGCGGATCCTGAGACGAAAAGACTCCGGGAGTGATGCGATCCGGAGAGTTCTCAAGGATTTGGTCATGTTTTGCTGAATGCTTTGCCATGCGTTGCCCCTCAACTTGTGGTCCAAGAAAAGGCCCACTGGTATGCACTGAGATCTCCTGGTCCATGTGGAAGATGAACATCCCTTCGCTAGCATTTGGGTGAGTATGCATGCCTTGGATCCCATCATCTCTCACCTGGGAACGATGCAAGGACCCAGCTCAAGCTCGACCCTAATCAGGTAAACTTGGGAGAATCCCTTCCCCACAAAGCACGCTTCACAAAACCTGCTCTAGTGCAGAAAGATGTCTCTACAATCTGGGAAAATGCAACGTCCATAAAGGTTAGGGTTAGACACACAATATGAAAGTCAGACCTGTCAGTCCCAAAACTGCCCAAAGTACTGCCCAAGAAGGGACTCTTGTCGCTTGGTGCAGTCGGAGTCTACCTGTCCTTCTTCCACTTGCCCCGGCAAGGACAAGAAGGGTGGCCATTTGGCCAAGGACAAAGCTGGAGGTCTCCTCTTGCGAGAATCGGCCCAGTGCCCGGAGGAGGACCGGACCGGTGCGGTTCGGTCCGGTCGCGTGGTGTCGTGGCGTCGTTCGGTTCGGGCAGGATGAGAAGGAGTTCCAAAACGTGGGGAAGTACAAGCTCCTTGGCGCGGAGAATGTGACCAAAGAGCCAGAATGGGAGAGAGATGGGGGGGTGTGGCAAAAAAATGGAGAACAAGGATGCAAAAAGAGCCATGAGTCTCGGACCAATCTGTCAAGCATGTCATAGTCGCATAACTCATGAGATCAGCTGAACATTTGGCAGACATTGGCACAGAATGGCACAGATTATGACAGCAATATGACAGCATACACTCTTGAGAGGTCGCAGATCACATCGGGCCTTGAAACAATCACCTCAATCAACCCAAAGGCTTCTTCGTCCAAAACGACCTGACTACTGGTTGAGGTCGTTTCCGGGTCCTTGAGGTTCTTCAACACCAACAACCTGTGGGTCGACCTGGCAGCCTTGAAACGAGAGTTCCGGCGAAATGATGGTGCCCTGCCTTTGCCCGTGATGAAGAGACTTGGCATAACCCACAACCCGCACCCAGTGGCTCAGCCACACACACAAAGGGTTTCAATTTGATTTAGATTGTAATGTGCAAAAGATATTTGCAGCATCCCAAAGTTATATACAGCATGTTAAAGTCATGCTGCAGTCTTGGTGTGTGATAGCCTTCCAAGAAACTGCACAATCAGGTGCATGAACATGTCCCATCGTGTCTCATATGTTTCTCATTTTTTCTCCATTAAGTTGATTAAGTGGTGTTTTCTGTTCTCCGTCGCCCGCTCAGTGTGTTCCATAATATGTTCCAGTTCGCGCCTGGCCAATGGAATGGGGTCGGGGCGGCCCATGTGGAAAGCCGGGCCCGAGGAATGGCAAGACGGTGGATCCCCGGGACAAGGCCTCCACCAAAGTCTTGCAGTTGGAGACCGCCATGGGCGCAGCGATCCAGTGCTTTGAAGGCGGACGTCGATGACGTCGGGTGAAGATGGGTGGACCACCCCGGAGGTCTCTCGTGAGAAAAATCGTCGAATGACGAATGTGATGAACAGCAGAATCGTCGTGTGATGGTAGGCGCCAGCTTGGTACACGTTTACCACTGCATTTACTATATGGTGAATGCGTGTACTAACGATCATCCACCAAGTTGAAAGCAGGACCCACTGGAAAACCAAGAGCTGCTGCAATCTATAGAAGTATACATTGAACACAAGCAGGCGCAGGCTCCCGCACAGGTCGACCACATGTCGACCCACGTCACAGGTCACCTCCCGGCTCTAAACCCTGCCTGTGGGTGTGGCTAGCACCCGAGAATGTCTGAAACTTAGGCCTTCCAAGCCATTGCTCATCCAAGCGTTGTTCAATGTCGAGGGCGAGGATGAGGGGGCGTTCAGGGGCGGCCCCTGTTCGTGAAGAGGTCTTTACAAGAAGACCCGAACGGATGTCCATACCCTACAGACGACGTGTGTTAGTTGTGATGGAACATTCGCAATTCGCTGAAAACCAGTATTTAAAACCAGGCGCCAACAGTTTCGATGCGAACTTGCTCTTTGGATCCCCCTTCTTGCTCCCAAACACACTGGCCAACCACACCAAGCCGCGACCACTCTTCGCTGGTGCCCGGCGCGACTTTCTTCCGCAGGCGCCAGCGCTTTGGTGATCCCACGCTCGCGCTTCGCGCCGGTGAAGACCACCAACGAGACTTGGGGGCAATTTTGGAGGGGTCAGGAGTGAAAAGCGTCGGAATCCGAGTTCTGTTTCAGGCTTCCTGAAAGAATTCATGGAAGTGGATAAGCTGGCCCCTTGGAAGACCAGTTTTCAAATATCAAACAGGTACTGTATATAGTTTTCCAATGTTTCCACTACCGATCATTATTTCAGGAGGTGTGAGGCTTTGGGGTCACACACATGCATAAGCGATGTGCTATTGTATCAGTGCAGAGCTATGGCGCGGTTGAATTGTTTTCATTGCGAGCATTGCGCAAGGTCGAGTCTTCTGAATTTCTGCTGGCCCTTCGACAGGGGCTTCGTTGATGTATGGGGCTTCACATGGCTTTGCCCCAATAGTCTCCCTTGAAGGGAGAATCGATAGGTTTTGGCTGTGGGCTTCTTTGCGAGTTTTTGAGACGATCTCGTCATCATTACTTTCACACATATTTTGATGCTCAAAAGCGCGGGGAAAAGCCGCGGCCGTGCTGTATCTCCATAGCACGATGGTATTGCTCATCTCCCTTTGGGCAGGGGTTCTGCTCACGACCTGTGGAGCCATTGCATGTGAAGGTGAATGCAAAGGTGAGTTCTTGCAGGTGGCACTCGATGTGCAGCGTGGTCAAGCCCACGGACAAGCCCATGCCTATGCTCATCACTGGCCACATGCCAGGGGGAAACCACCGCAGTTTGGGACCACTGCGGAAGTTTGGGCCAATCAGTCCGTTCGGTGGATGTGGCACGATCCAGCTGGACGCTTTCACAATCTCCTGTCCGGCGGAGTGGTGATTGATGAGGATTCCAACATGTTCTTAATGAGTGCCAAAGGTCTTTACGCCTTCTCCGTGAATGGCCAGCAGTTGTGGCATTATGAGACGCCCGGAATCTCCAATAATGAGCCCAGCCTTTTTGAGGATCTGGTGCTTGGTTCCACCAAGGATGGGGTCGCTTTTGGAGTCAATCGGGTCACTGGAGAGGTTCGATGGGAGACCAAGCTGGCGGAGAGTGCTGGAGGCGACTGTGGATATCCTGCTGCCTTCGATGGCATCATGGTTGTTGGAGCCTTGAAGAATTTGATACCCATCGATGGGGGCAATCGCAAGGTCTTCGGTCTCAATGCACGCACGGGTGAAAAGCTTTGGGAATATCAGCTGGACGTTCCTACGTGGAACTTAACTCCTTTGTTTCCAGGTGATGGCTCCGTGCTCTTCCAGGACTGGACGGGAAGCCTTTTGCGCTTGGGTCTTCACAGTGGTGCGCTGATTTGGAGGAGCCCAGCCAGGAACTCGAGCGCAAGCTTCAGCGATGGCGGAGCCATCTTGGGGCCAAACCAGATGGCCTACACCTGCAGTCGCTTGGTTCCAGATGACAGTGTGCTTACCGTTTGATGTGCCAAAATGATCCAACATGATATGGTTTAACAATGTTTAACATGGTTTAACTCTGCCCGTTTAAATTCTTTTGTATAGATAGTGGCATCGTTCCATTAGTTCCATTACGCAAGATAAATCAACCCCATGAACCATTTGTCAACATCTATCGCCTATGCATTCCCTGCCGCAAGGCAACTACTTCAACAGCATGGGTACTGAGGGTAACGGTGTCGTGCGTGCCTACGAGCTCTCCAGCGGGCGCATGGTTTGGGAGCACATCACACCAGATCCGTGCAACAGTTATCCCTCCGTCGGGCATCTTCAAGGCATTGATCGTCTTGCAGTGGTCGTGACCCCGGGCCGCTTCGTGGGAGCGCCAGCCATGAAGGGAAGCGTTTTGGCCTTGGATGCTGAGACCGGAAGCACTTTCTGGGAATACCATGCAGCGCCCTACACGGGTCTACACTTTCAGGCAGCCGGTGACATGGAGGGTTTCGATATTCGGAGCGGCGAAGGGATTCAAGAATTGTGCCTTCCAGCACATTGGAGCGCTCCCGTGATCGATGGTGCTGGGACAGTTTTGGTGGGCCGCCTGGATGGAAAATTGTGGCTGAGATGAGATGAGAGAAGTCTTTGTTTGTTTGACGATATTTCATGTGACCTTTTCACAACAGTTTTGGACCGTTCTGTGTAAAAACTGGGCCTTTTCCAGTCCCACTCTTGGCATCTCTCCAGGAGCCTCCCGGGTGAAGCTAGGATCAAAGGGGAAAGTATATATGAAGACCGAACCCAATGAACCCCCAAGCTGCTTCAAGAGAGCCATCCACTGATGCTCTATGAACATGTTCAAACCACGTCTGTGTGGTTTGATGTGGTTTGCCCCAAATATCACGTGTAGATCTCATGCCGCGTGGCCGGCCCTTTGGCCCGGTCGAATAAAAGAATGGCCAGGTACCACATCGTCAGTCCAGACCAGGCGGAAGTCAGAGAGTTTGGTGCCGCCCCACTCCATGGAGCGGTCGCTGCTGCGCCCGGGCTCTTTACCTTTACCACCTGCGATACATTATACGTCTTCTGAGGCCCAGCCGTAAGAGCTGAGAAGGCAGGCTAAGAGAGGTTGGAGAGGGTAGGAAGTCGAAAAAGTGCGAAGCTGCTTCATCAAGTGGGAAGGGCCGTCCTGAATTCCTGGTCTCCAAAGGCCCTTTCGAAGGGTTTAGGCAGAAAACTGCAGTAGACTACAGTCATGCAAGATTTGCACCCGGAGCGCGTTGTGCACTGGTGCCGCATGCCTGCACTATAAGGACCTGCTTGCCCTTCGCTCTGATGCCTACAAGCTTACAGAGGAGCAGCTACCTGAATTCTGCCAAGTTCCATGTGCGTTGTATGAGACAACCGCCCATTTCTAGGTCTTGCATCGCAGAGCACGAGCAATAATGTTATTATTGCATGTTGTGCCATCAAACGGAATTTAGAGTGTATATATATATATGTGGATTTTCTCAATGGGACCTATGTCTTGCAGGACGGATATCAAAATTTATATAGTCTTCAGGAATCCGTCCTGCAATTTGTGAGAGGACTTTACCATCGTTTTGGCGCCTGAGCGTGATGGTGTGCCTCCTGAAGTGAAGTTGGACGGCATGTACAAGTTCACCGATCCCTGGCAAGAATCACCACACAAAATCTCGCAAATTCAACAAGATCCTGCGGCATGTATACCGGCATAAACACAGGAGAACATAGATACGCGAGGTCTCAGGTTCTGCGGGATTTTGTCCATCAACAGTACGAACAGTCCGCCTAGTGCTTCGGCACGTTTGCTTTTAAGCTGGCCGACTTGCTGTCAAGGATGCCATGGAGAAGCTGATTCCCAACGGCCCACCATCCTTGCTTCATTGCAAGAAGTTGGTCGTGGAAGGACCCAAGCTTTGTATGTAGAGTTCAGAACACGTGCTTTTGAATTGCTTTGTTTGCCTTATTTTGCCTTGCTCATTGCCTTTTGCAGTGCCTGTTGTTCGCCTCTTTTCTTGCACGTGTTTTGCCTTTCGACTTTTCCCTTGCTCTTCATGTACCTGTTTGCTTTACCTTTTTTTGCCGTCTGTTTCATCACCTTCTATTTTAATCCTGGAATTGGCGCCTGTCCGAATTCACGTCTTGTGAATAGCTCAAGCAATTAGATGCACTTCTTCTTGTTCCGCTTGTAATAAGGTGCCCGATGGAAAGAACATGCTTGAGACAAATGTGGCAGATGCCGGAGACAAATGTGGCCGAAACGAATCAGCTGTGCATCCTGTCCCGGGGAAAAGACCATCTGAAACAATTTTGGGACTCAGCACTTGGTACCCATGATGACTCTGAAAAACCATGGCGTCGGAGTCCTTTGTTTGGGGGGGATGGAATCATATAGGGTGCCCTTTCTTTAGGAGGATGCCATGTTGTGTGTGTGCCATTCCCGCAGGACCCGTGACCTTTGCGAAGGATGTGATCATCAAAGGTACCGTGACCGTCAAGAACAGCAGCGGCACATCCAAGGCCAGCGCGTTTCGCGCCGGGGCGCGCAGGCGCGGCTTTCCTGCAGGTGCACATGGCACATAGCCACCAGAAACCACCACAGTGAACTTGGGAATCGCAAGGTCATGGGTTGTGCATCTGGCACTGTCAGGGATGAGACGAAAATTTCGATGCGGAAGGCCCAATGTTTGTCCAGGAACGGTCTTTCGGATGGTACGGGGCTGTTGTTTCATGTTGTTTGCCATGATCTGTCGGAATGTACTGTAGTTCATGTTCCTCATAGTTCCTCATAGTTCCTCATATTTCTCCGTTGAAGTCTCTCCAGTGGCCGAAGCTCGACCAAAGCTGCCCAGGAGCTGGCTGCGGGCACCTACGAAGACAAAACCGTGGGAGAGCTCAGCGGTTTGAGCGCCCAAAACACCATCTACCTTCCTTGGAAAGATCAAACCGCCCAAAACACGCACCAGAAATCACCAGAATACCTGGAGAATCCTTCTGTTTTTTTTGGGGTATCAGGTGGATGTTTGATGCCTACTCCATTAGAAGTTGGCTGGCCATGATCGAAGGCTTGCTTATGCACTGTGAATGACAGATAGGTCAGTCGTGTAGTGGGTGCCTCTATCAAATTGACTTCACAGACCCATGAATTTGGGAGTTCTTAAAGCGCAGGTTTCCCATTCCCACTACATCCCATTGCCCAGTCGGGGCTGACCAGACTGACCCGTCCAATGGGCCGATGTCCCAGCGACTCAGGTGGAGCTTTGAGAGAATGTCTGGCACTTTGTCCATGGGGAGCATGAGTTTCGGGAACATTACCAATGAATAAACGGTGGTTCCTGGGAGAACTCAGAATTGTCAACTTCGGTTCAGTTGAAAGCATTGCAGACCCTGCTTTGAGAGCCACATGTTCATTCGAAGGTCGAGATTGTGCGATCCGCTTCGAACCGCTTCGTATGAGGTGTTTTTTGGCCTTCGCAGTGCCAGCGACGTCCAGTGATAGCAAGAATTTTCGGTGTGTAGATGGCGCGGGCTGGTGCTTCGGCATGTGTGGTTTTCTCACCAGTGGAGCTGTTGCACTGGTATTGCAGAATGTCACTGGGCCGGGCAGCCTTTGCTTCTTTGGCTGAAGCACCAGGCACCTGCAGTATAAAGATGTATCGTTTTCATTGTATTGCTTTTCTGATCTTTTCTGCCTTTGGCACAGATGTGTGTCACGATAGACAAGCCACAAGTGCGATCTGCAATGGTGGAGTGGATATTCATTGCAAGAAGCATCAATAAGTTCAACGGTTCATTGATGATCATTGATCATTGAGATCTTGGGTGTTCCCATGTGTTCCCAAGCATCCCGTCAAGCGTGTGATTCCATGGGCACAAAGAAGTTTAATGAAGTTTGCAATGTCTTTGCCTGCATCATTTGAATCATTCCACTCGTGCCATGCTGTGGGTTGGCCAGGACTTGAAGTTTTGCCGAACCGACGTGCAAAGATGTCCGAAGATGATGTCCTCGCATGGCTCGTTAGGGGAGATGTTAGCTACCTGACTGACCTGACTCAAGTGTTGCAAAGATTCTGGAAAGTTGTGCCTAGTTCTGATTACATTTGGTGCACTTTGCCGACGCCCCTTTGTAGAGAGGAGGTCGTTCTCCGCGCAATGGCCCGCTTATGTCACGATGAGACTGGAGCTCAGACTACGGCGACAAGAATCAATAGACAAAAACTGGTTGCTTGCCGCAGCTATGAAATTGCCGGCATCAGGAATGCAACGCAATACGCTAGTTAGTGTCTTGCCTCAGATGTGTCGCTCCTAACTCTTCACAAAGCAATCCTGGAAAGCTGGCAAAAAGCTGGTCATCAAAGCTAGCTCACTGCTAGGCTTAGATGGAGAAGCTGAGCAACTTGTCGAAGGCGGAGGCCCGGTCGGCCGAAGCCATCCCGATCCATGGGACAGAGAAGGGTTTTGTCAACTGCATTGGACATGTCCATCACCTCAAGTCAACAGAATCAACAGAGAGCGAGAGAGAGAAAGAGAGACCATGTGGAAGAAAAGGAGAAGATGGTTTCTCAAACCGTCGAACCCCCTGTCCATGTGCACGCCAAAAAGAAGGAGATTCTTTGCTACTGAAAAAGTCCACATTGAACGGACTTATGGTTTCCTTAGTCCTTTCATCGCGTCTTGAGATATCATTGAGGCATATTGAATGCATGTTTGATTGCTAAATGCGGGCCATTCTTATCCTTTTTTCCCCATGTTGTTTTATCCCGGGTGGGTGACTGAGCTTCGCCGCTTTCGCATGAAGCAGCTGATCCACTGTGGGAACACCGTCGAGCCCCGGGTCATTCACTGCTGTAGGCCTTGCTTCAAAATGCGCACCCTTCGTGTTCGATTTCCTGACCACTTCCACGCGAAGGCCTGCAGAGAGGTCCGAAAAATTCATGAAAATTCCGGACATATCCGGAATGGTCCGGACAGTTTTGACATGCCAGAGTTGTCTCCAGCGGCTGTGACTCAGGCAAATTATCCGCCTGTCCCACCTTGATTGGGTTCTTGTTGCCCTGGTGCAAGTACCAAAACACAAAAATATCATGAATCATCACCAAACCATACCAAACCTAGGATCACCAGGAATAAGACACTAGACTGTGGGGTGAGGAATAAGTTGAAGTGAGCAGGTTGTGTTCCTCGCAGCTTTGGTCGTTTCCACAGCCCGGCTACCCAAGTTCGCTCCAGGTGCCTGTGCCGGCGTGAGCACCAGGCGGTGCAGAAGCAAGTGGAGCCCCGGCTCAAAGAGGCAGGAGAAGCATTCATTCAACCCTGCTATCATATCGATATAGTCACATTTTGGACTCCCCAAGCATCCCTGCGGCAGGGGCACTTGTTGGCGCCACGTCCCTGTATAGGGCCTTTCGGGTGGATCGCATCACCGGGGTGAAGTGGCGGGAAACAGGTGCGGCAGCACTTGGCCGCTGAGCAGGAACGATGGGAAGCAGTGGGGGGTCTCAGGGATGGGCCTCCAGAAATGGAGAGGATCGGAAGAGGATCGGAGAGGCTGGTGTTTTGTCAGGGCTCTGTGGGCGGAAGACAAAGATATACAAAGATCGAGAAGAGTTGAAAGAAACAGACACGTCATGGCGCCAGTGACATCAATTGACATCAATTGGCGCATGCGGCAGGTAGCATGCTCGTTAAGGAAAGTGGCACACTGATACCCACTCTGATTCCCCAATAGCCATGCTATGGGGTCTTGCAAAACTAATAGGCGGACGGGCGCCGTCGGGTCACCGTCAGAGCTGGTGGGCGGATGGTGTCCCGGTCATGTTTTGATGGCGTCCGGGTCATGTGATGCTGGTGTCCCGGTGTCCCGATCATGTTTTGATTGTGACCCAATCATGTTGTGATGGTGTCCCGGTCCTGTTTTGATGGTGTCCCGGTCATGTTTTGATGGTGTCCCGGTCATGTTGTGATGGTGTCCCGGTCATGTTTTGAAGGTGTCCCGGTCATGTTGTGATGGTGTCCCGCTCATGTTGTGATGGTCTCCCGGGCATGTTTTGATGGTGTCCCGGTCGTGTTGTGACGGTGTCCCGGTCATGTTTTGATGGTGTCCCGATCATGTTTTGATTGTGTCCCAGTCATGTTGTGATGGTGTCCCGGTCGTGTTTTGATGGTGTCCCGGTCGTGTTTTGATGGTGTCGCGGTCATGTTTTGATGGTGTCCCGGTCATGTTGTGATGGTGTCCCGGTCATGTTTTGATGGTGTCCCGGTCATGTTGTGATGGTGTCCCGGTCATGTTTTGATGGTGTCCTGGTTGTGTTGTGACGGTGTCCCGGTCATGTTTTGATGGTGTCCCGATCATGTGATGGTGGCGCGGTCATGTTGTGATGGTGTCCCGATCATGTTTTGATTGTGTCCCAGTCATGTTGTGATGGTGTCCCGGTCATGTTTTGATGGTGTCCCGGTCATGTTGTGATTGTGTCCCAGTCATGTTGTGACGGTGTCCCAGTCATGTTGTGATGGTGTCTCGCTCATGTTGTGACGGTGTCCCGGTCATGTTTTGATGGTGTCCCGGTCATGTTGTGATGGTGTCCTGGTCATGTTTTGGCGGTGTGCCGGTTATGTTTTGATGGTGTCCGGGTCATGTGACGGTGTCCCGGTCATGTTGTGATAGTGTCTCGGTCATGTTGTGATGGTGTCCCCGTCATGTCATGCTGGTGTCCCGGTCACCTTGTGATGGTGTCCCGGTTATGTTGTGATGGTGTCCCAATCATGTTGTTTCGGTGTCTCGGTCATGTTTTGATGGTGCCCTGGTCATTTTGTGATGGTGTCCCGGTTATGTGATGATGGTGTCCAAGGAAGAGATGGTCGATGTGTTGAAAACAGCAGCTGTTTCCAGATTTTTCTTTTTGTCCCGGTTTGTATCTTGCTATTGGGGTCTCCAGCTGGGCTAATTGGAATGACCTGGAATGATCGTGGCGAATGATAGTGGCACATAGAAGCACCAAAAAGGCTTCGCCCGAATGGTCGGGACAGCCAGAGGAGTGTGAGATGCGAAACCCGCCGCAATTCGAATTGCCACGGCTCAACGCCTTGGATTGTGTGTTGTTTGCTGTCTTTGTCAGAGACCTGGTGGGAAGTTCCAACGACTGATTTCAAAAGACAATGGTTTATGACTCTCAGGTGGGTTATGACTCTAGTCATTAAGCTAAATTAGAAGCTAAATTGGTTCCTTTGCCGGGCTTCCCGCAGCAACCCACCTGGTAAGATGGGGGTTTTCTCTCGTGGTTTGCTAAGCCTGGCCCACGTGGCTGCAGGAATTCCGCAACGCCTACAATGCGTACACTGTGGAGCTTTGCTTTGGTCTGGCTTGCAGCGCTGTGCTGTGGCGAAAGCCCTCTTTATCTTTGCTGGTTTTTCCGGTGATTGGCCTGCTCCTCAAGGAGGGAACCATGCAACTGACGGGATTCCAAAGTTCACAGCAAGTGGACATTTGCATTACAAACAGATGCTTATGGCTATACAGCGTTTACATGAACAAGGCCGATTTGCCAGTCATTGGTTCACAAAATCAGGGCGAGTTTTGCTCCTTGCATTTCAGGTCGGGATCTTCTAGGGAAAATGGATCAATGAATGATAATCACTAATGCATGTTCCCCTGGTTAAAATGATTCCTAATCATCACATATGATCACCAATTCGCGTTTTTACCCTCTCTGCTGGTTATGAGGAGTGTTCACTTGCCGTTTCTATGCTCCACCCGGATCGTACCTGAGGCTCTGCCGCTGGCATTGCTAGCCTAGCATGCATGCTGCCGTGCGGCCTTAAGAGCGTGATCGCACGGCAGCGAGTGAAATCCTTCTCCTTCCTGGCGGGGGGGTCGTTCCGACATTAGGGAGACAGCGGACCAAAGAGACACCGGACCGATTGGGCCTATGAAACGCTGCCCAGACCTGGGAAATGGATGGAATTCTTCTTCAGAAGGGCCTCGTGGAGGGTCCGGGACACGTTTTGCCAGTGGATGTTGGTCAATACCTTGCACGGCGGACGAGCGAATCCGGGAAGAGGAGAGTATGAAGCACCCAGTTTTGACCGGTATCCCGCAACCAGAGTCTACTCGTACAGTGGTTTCAGAGTATATATATAGATGTCTGTCGGTGGTTTATATGGTCCCCATCTAAAGGACATCCTGGGGGTTGTGCCATCTACATACTATGAAACCACTGTAAGATCTGTAAGTGATTGAGTCTAGTTGGCATCCCTTTTGCTCGAAGCAGTACGGGAAGAGATATCCCTGCAATTGAAGGAAAGCATTCGGAGAACCACCTTGTCGTCTAATTTGGATTGCCCAAGTATTTGCAGGGCAGGGTTTGGCATGACACAGGTGGTGCATTACATTTGGATCCGCCGTTTCATAACATCACATTTATTACTGTATAAATACGCGATCTGTATTTGGTATTTGGCAACAATGATGTGTACGTGTATGGCTGCAGGTGTCTCTTTGATCTTTCGCCCAAGGCAATCCTTGGAGCTGGTCTTTTTGATCAGCTCCATGTTGTCCTGGTGGTTTCATGCATAGCTCATCTGGGACTCCCCAGATCTCGTTCCGCAGTCTTTTTTGCTCCACCAGTGTCGTTCTGGGGCAACTGTACAAAGCCAAACGCTGTAGAGAAGGCACAGGCAAGGACTTCTCAGCTTGTGCCTCGCCAAGTTTAGATCGATAAAAGAAATGGTTGGCTGCCATGTGTCTTGATCACGCGCACGGGCATGAGTTTTTCTGATGCGACTACAGGAATGCTATCAAGCATTATTTTTGATAATTCTTACTTGCATGGTTCGTGTCTGGTATGCTCCAAGCAGCCGCCAAGATCAGTTCGCCATGATGACCTCCACTGGAACAGACGATGTAGCCAGGTGAGCAAAGTGGCAGGAACATGGAGGAACTAGTTGGTCAACAGAAAGGTCTTCCAAGCACATCAAAGCACTCCAAGTTCAACGCGGAACAAAAAGGAATGGCTAATGGATGATGCTTACAAGCATTTCGTTGCAGATGTTCCAGCGTCAGCGTTGTTCTGAAACGTTTCCCACCACAACACGGATGGCGGACTAGTCCGTTTCGACGGCGGCTTCTCCTCGCGGAGACGGCGGTGCCTCGCGGAGACGCGATGCTTTTGGGGGTCGTTGGCCCCAACGGGCCCGAACCACCTGCAGTCTTGGCACCTTCCAGTGGCAAGAGTTTGAAGGCGAACGGTTTATTTTGAGACTGGTAAAGTAGACATGAAGATGTTGGTAGAAGAAATGAGCGGAATGATCAAGTGCCTCCATGTGCCTTTTCCTGTTGGAAAGTATGAGGAGTCGGATTTAGGATTGTATATACTATATATATACTTGTCCCTCCTCAAGCTTTGCCGCTTTGCCTTTACTACCTCTTAAGAAGCGAGCACCATGCTCCAGGCATTGAAGGAGAAGGCCGCCAGAGCTTTGAATTTCGTGCACCCTCAGAGTGGTAATGCGCCTTGGCCATCCAACTCACGCTTCAAACACAAAGACACCCCCCTCTCTGAGAGTTCACCCATAAATGCACAACGCCTGGGTTCGGTGCTTCACCCTACACAATCTACACTCAGGTTTGGAAGCCTCGGCACCTCTTCACCGAAACACCCAGTGGAAATCTCCGGGAGCTGCAGACCTCAGAGCTCCAAAGGGAGAAGGCGCGACGGGACCGGGGATTTCCGGGGCGACCCATCGAGCCCCTCCAATGTGTGCACAAAAGAGTGTCAGCTACTCTTTACTAAGTAGCTTTCTATATAGAATATTTCTTGAAAAAAGTAGTAATGCCAGGAGCTACTAGTAGCTTCTTGTTACTATATACTAGTAATGCCCTTGTTGCTTGTAGCGATACCCTTGTTGCTAGTAGCGATGCCCTTGCTACTAGTAGCTTCTTATTGAAGATGTGATTCTCGCGAGTGTGAGGACTGCCGGAACATACCGAGTCAAGAGCAAAACAAGTAGGTCTGGGACATGCAACAGTGGTTCAGAAATGACAATGGAAAGTCATGTTAGAAATACCATGACCTGCAATGATGTCAGGATATATTAAATTCATCAGTGAATTATCGTTATTCATGTTGCATCCTTTTGTCCACGGCAACAAGCACGTTTTTTCCACGGTCACATGGTCTTTACCCGGGACTGCAAAAGTTGCCACAATGGTCAAGATGAGATGGCATTGCCCCAACCTGTGAAGGAAACTGGTCAGGTCCGAGGCGTGCGCCGGCGTGCGCACTGCCTATCCATTTCTTCCAGATGAGAGTCAGCATGCATCTCTCACAGACTGTATGCTGTATGCCAATATATGCCAATGTTTCTACAAAAACAGAACTTTGATGACGATACAGGATACAGTTACAGGACAATCACGATACCTGTGTTGAACCTTGAAAGACACCCTATCCCGATCATCATCGTTCATCAACCCAGTCTCCTTCCTTGATCTATAGGTCTTGTGGGCAGAGCCTCCCTGGCATGCGGGCGCAGTGCTGCAACAGGGCCTAACCTCGCGACGACGCTGGACTTGGGGGTCGCGCATCTACCAGAGGCCGTGTACGCGGGAGATGTATGGAATCTTATGGAAAGATGATGGGACAGGAAGCAACATTCAAAAATCCTAGCAGTCCTAGCACCTCCCTAAGACCCAATTAGGATGGAGGTCGGGGAGCCAGAAGAGACGACTTTCAGGATATTTCGTGGTTGAAGGAAGGGGCGCCCATCCGACCCCCTGTCCGACCTGTCCGACCACGCCTCCAGACTCTTGCGGATGCCTTGCTGCGTGCCACTGCACCGGCTTTGGCACAGCGCACGCAGCACCGCCTCGGCAGCCAAAGGCGGTGCTCGCAGCTCCCCACGCCGGGAGAAGAAGCCACAGGTTCGGTTTTGGTTCGATTGAGATTCTTGATGAGATGTTTCGAGATGTTGTGAGCTTGGGAGGCAGTAGATGTATCCTCATGTTTTGGACAGCAACATAACGATGAGTAAGTTCAAGTAAATTAAGAACATCACACGAGGAGCATCAGTCTTTGGAATCCAAACCTGGTGCGCATGATGCCGCTCCACTGTTCCAACTCAACAGTTCTTAACAAAAGTCCCCATTTTGACAGTTTCGACCTTCCCCAACCCTATCCAACCCTAACATAGACATATTTATTAACGAAGCTGCGAATGTGAGTTGCCCACTGCGTCATACTCAACGTGCTCCGTGGCTTCGCCGCGCTGGACCGAGTGGACCGAAGATCTCGGTGGACTGGCGCAGGATCCCAAGAGACCCAGCCACTTTATTTCGGTGCGAATGGGCGAAGATGTACGGAAGGCCGCTGTGAAAGTGCAGAAGGAGTCCCAGAGAGAGAGAGAAAGAGACAGGGGCGGAAGTTCCTGGGTTGCTGCTACACAATGGATGTCTAACAGTCTAACTTAACTGCTTACTGTAATATGTCATATAACATCTTTCTAGTGATTCTAGTGCCTGCTTGCTCAGGTAAGCAAGATCGTCATGCTTGGTTGTCACAGGTCCAGACTAAGACGGGATGCCCGTTGGTGGTCATTAATCAAATAACTAGTACGTTCTTGGTTTACTGTGGACTGTCATTGACACACGGCCGATTTTGTCGCTGGCAAATTCAGGTGCTTACCCGCTCTGTGTTTATGAATGTGTGAATGCGAATCAATGGTGAGTGCTTGCAATGTTCCAGGAGCTCATGATCAAAGCAGATGAAAAGATGCATACTCAGCTTGAGAGGCCTCACAGTGCTTGCTCATTCTCCACCCCTCGACACCCGTTGCTTGAGACGTGATGTTGTGGAGACCGGCACTCAGCGTGTTGACGCACCGAGTCATTTCGGAGTCATTTCGTGTCAATCCTGATGAATCATCCACCTCCCTTTAAAGGCTGCATGGACAAAGTTCTAAATTCAAAACAGTTGTGTTGTGGACCCCCAGTTGAGTGGATGAACCATGTTTTGGTATCTCTTCTAGACATTTTGTGTTTGGTATCACTGCATATCGCTGCCCTCATGGAGATAGTTGCCGTTGCCCCATTTGAAACTCCAATTTCAGGTGTTTGATCCCAAGCAGCCAGCTCCATTTGACACTCCTGACGCTGACGCTGCAAACAGAGGAGGACATACAGGCTCACCTGCGACGGCGAGCAGCGATGAAACAGGGGGAGTCTGAACGTTCGACCCGAGCGGTCTCGTCTCAAGAGAAAAGGCATCAAACATTTGGAGCGAATTGGGGCGAATTGGAGCGAATTGGGGCCAGAACATCAGAAGATTATGTGTTGAAGTCTTCATGACGCCCGCAACTAACTGAAAACGCATGTGTTTGCCAAGAAACATTGGCGTTTCGACGGCGTCTTGACAGCGTACCAGTGGGAAGCTTGTCCATATTGTCCAGTCTTTACCGCGTTTGCTGAAGAAAGCCCTTATTTTGGTCGATTGACAAGGGATTGTCATACAAAGTGGTTTCCCATCACTCGAGAAAACGGGGCTTGCTTGATTCACCTTCCACCCCACCCCGATTTAATCGCATGGCTCGTCGATGACAATGTTGTGACGACGGTGGTAATGTTGTGACACGATGACAGGGCTGTGAAACCAATGTGGGGAAAATGATGACAAGGTTCGTAAGACAACAAGGCAACAATATTGTGAAAAACGATGACAAGTTTATGCAAGCAGACGATGAGCATGTTGTCGGCAGCAGCTTCATGCCAAGGAAGATGTGGAGTGGCAAGTGGAAAGTGTAAAAGCGCAAAAACCACGGGGTCGTTAGGTGTCGTGAGCGTTGAAATGCCGCCAAAACGACGTGCCGACAGCCCGACAAGGTTGCCAAAGAACGCCTCAATCAAGTAGCTGATGCAGAAGGCTGGGCGATGCAGCCTATGAGAAAGGCCTTTTCAGATGATGCAAGATCACAGGAAGAAGACAGCCTTATAAGATCCACATAGATCCACCATGCCCAAGCAAACATCCACAAAGCACCCGGGCCCTCAAGAGTGATGCGAATCTGACCTGTGCAGGCTTCAGCTTCAAGCTACAAGGCTTGGAGTCCTTCGGGCACCGAGTGGCTTGGCGTGCTTCTCAATGGTGTGCGTGTGTGGTCTTGAGATCCTTAAAGATGCATCGAAATCGTGTACTCAATGGCGTGTGTGTGGTCTCGAGCCTCAATGGAGGCGCAAAAAGGCCTGAGAGTTTTGGGGCTCATGTTCACAGATGGCGATTCGAACATACCCTTGTAGGGTATGCCGAGTTTGTGGGCTTCACGGTGCATCAGACATTATGGACATATATGGACATCATAAGACCATCACCAGGACCTTCAAAGCGACCATCCTTGAGATCCAATGAGGTCACGAATCGTCCCTAAAGAGGTCACAAACAGAGACTCCGGTCCAAAGAGGTTACTGAAGGTCCTGGCATAGACCATGAATGTTCTGCTTCGGTGACGGGCGGGTCCACCGGTTTGTCAAGAGTTGTGGGGCCGTAACCGCCCGTTGCCTGAGGTACTCTTTGCCCGTGCTCGTGATGATGGGTCCCAGGGATTTGCATCCCTTTGCTCTCTGCACACGCGTTTAGCCGACATATTCCAAACCTCACTGCTACCAGGCAGGCTCACTCTTAGAAGCTCGTAATATAGCAACTCGGAGCAAGCAACACACATCAACGCTCTTTGGATTGAGTCAGATTGGTTTGATTGGTTCTCCTCAGTTTTACCTCCGTTGGGCAGGCACAACAACAGAAGAAGTTGAGCCTCCAGCAGAGGCAGTTTCCACACAGGAGCCGGCCAGTTGTGCGGGCGGTTCAGCCTCAAGCTAACCCCAGTTAGAAACTTACGGGAAATCATCAGTACAAGCTCTGGACTCAGGCAGAGACCCAGAAACTTAGCTTGTGCCACTTCCAGGAACACCAAGCAGAATTGGAAGTGTCTCAGGAGCGGTTGAGTCGCTTTTTAACGTGCTTTCGGCTGCAATTCAAGGAGTTGGAGTGATTTGGGCACGCAAGTCGTTTAGGAATGTACAGGGTACCCGCACATCAGAGTCAGAGTAGGGTTCTTTCATGTATATAATGTTTTTGTCCAAGCTGTTGGGTTGTCAATGACCCTGGTGCAAGACTCTTAAAAAGACTCCAGTGTGGGCCAAGTTGAGCATGTCACCGTTTTTAGTTAGTCTTTTATGTGTTCAACTCCGTGATGGGGCCCGGGTTACGCTTCGATGCCCTGCATGTTCACCGCTTCGTCGAGGCGCGTCCTCCGGCACGATGCCAAGCGCCTGGGGCTGCAGATGCGAAGCGATGGATCTGTGGCGCTGAAGGTGGGGTTGCATATGAAGCTGGGATTGGTAGCAAAGGGTGGATGAACAGGGATATTAGCATCTGCATCTTGGTGGCTGCGAGCAGCGTTTGAAACTCGGCTTTTAGTGTCGCACTTTATATTACTCATAATATCTCAGAATTTATTTGTATGTTAAATATTGCATGGGTGGGCTTTCATGCCAGACACGCCAAAGGTTTAGTAAGGACGGGCAAAGAGCTCTCGGTTGGACGGATTTACGACTGACACTTTGGGTTTTCCCCCTCAGCCAAAGGTCTAGCTCTCACCATCTAGTTGCGGCGCTAGGTCAAAGGGTGGGAAGGAGAAATACAGCATGTTCTTCTGGGGAGGGCCTGTTACCCAACGTGGTTAGAGACGTCATCCGCTTCAAAACGGTCAGTGCCAATGTCTCCAAACATGTTGAAAGGATGGTTGTTTGGGATTTGTTTGTAGGCTGCGCGCCACTGTTCCGCAGTGCTTCGCTAGCTGCATTTGGCTTTCCAGTTGTGAAGTTCTGAAGGCACTCCATTAGGTTTGGGGATTGACAAGGCCAACGCATGTTCCTCGCCAGGATCTAGTGGCTTTGTCGTTCTTCAGAACCAATGGCTATTCGGAGCGGCCTGCCTGCAGGAATGCATTTCATCTCACTACAGGATTTCGAGCCGTAGTGTCGAAGGGAGGGAAATGGGAGGTGACATGAAAAGGACAGATCTTTCACTGTGGTTTGGACAGATCTTTGCACACTTGTCACCAAGGGCCGATGTGGAAAGAGAAGTGAGATGCAACGCCAAGCAACGGTTCTCCCTTTGGCTAGACGATGGCGTGAAGCGCATTCGCGCTAACCAGGGCCACAAGATGAAAGAGGCAAGCGAAGCCCGCAAAGATACAAAGCTGATATGGTTTGATGGAAGTGAATCCTTTTGACTGGAACGGAAGACTACGTTTCGATACGTTTCATTCTTTCCATATACTTTCCTCTGGAGACGGATGCATTCTTCCACCCAATCGTGCGTTTTTCCTCCCCTTCTTTAGTGGTAAGTCATAGTAAGTCCTTGGACTCCACATTCCAGACCCCCTCACCCAAGACACCAGACCGGGAAGACCGAACGCTGGTCTCGACAGGTCGTGGACTCCGAGCTCTTGACGCCGATCCTGTCGGCCTCAGAGCTGCCGGTGTGCCACTTGGTCAACCTGCTACGCCGCTCTCGTCCGGTCGTTCCGCGGCACCTCCGGTTTTGTCGATTTCGGACTTCGGGAGGGAGAAGCGGTGGGTCTTTCAATGGGTTTGGCCATGGGTGGAGCTGTCACTTTCCACCTGGAGATGCGTTGAGATGCTTACACCGCCATGGCCCGTTGAGAGGGCCCAGAAGAATGAGGTGTTCTTTTACGCCGGTTGGACCCAAACCTGATCAAGCCTTCATGGCAGGCTGCTCGATATTAGGAGCAACGACTCACATCAACTCTCTTGCAAGTTTCCCCCTCTCAACTCAACTAAATATGTTAACAATATAGTTCAAAAGTGCTCAATATAAGTCATGGTTGGTCAAAGGCGGAGTCCTGCACCTTCCTGGCCCGACGGAGTCACAAGAGGTGACTTACAGCGATTTGGGAAGTGTTCAGTGGATGTGATTATTGAAAGCATGTGGTTTCAACATGTTTGGAGTCCAGTCTGACTACTAATTACTAATATATATGTTTCTCTCCGGTCATGCTGTAGCTAGGGCCAGGGGCACTTCGAGGCCATTTTTATGCCGAGGCATTCATGGAACCTACATGAAGAGGTGGCACTACAAGAAGAAGTGCTATGTGGACGTTTGGCCTGCCATCAAACGCGAAGGTTTGAAACCCATGGGCCGCAACCATATCCATTTTGTGCCTCATGAGGCCGGGGAGCTGTTGAGTAGCTGTGCTTTGAGAGTCTAAGACGACTGGTAGACTAGGGTCATCATACACCGAGCACGTTTGGCCACATGTTTTTGTTTCTATAAGTTCAAGACAGGATTGTTCTCATGCAATGTTGAAGCTCGGATGTCCACGAGGTGTATGGAGTAGTGCCGGCCTCGCTTCTGAAATAGCGGAATCCCAAAAGAGTTCTGGGATGTTTGGCAGCTGGTGCCTCTCAGCCAACACTTCTGGACAATAGGGGGGTCTTTGTTCATGCTGCACGCCCCGTCTAATAAAGTCCTAAAAATCAATGGAGATAGTGTGCATATATATATATATACAGAGAGAGAGTGTGTGTGTGTGTGTTTGTTCCACACTGACAAGCTCTTACATTACATGTTTGAAGCAGTTGTGCAGCAGGTTGAGCACCTGTATGGACATTCGTGTATGGGCTCCACATGTGTGGAGCGGCCCATCGACCTTTCCAGTTCAGAAGATCCTCCGACAGGTCGGCTCTCGCACGGTGATCAGTGGCATGCGCCAAGGCGTGGTGATCCCGCTGTCATCTTCTGGACATTCTATAAAATCAATCCATGAAAAACTATGAAAAACTTCTATTGAAATATATTGGAATTATTGACTTAGTAGTATTTGTATAGTTGTGATGTGTGTTGGTTTTGGATGGTTTTGGCAGATTTGGGGACCATCGCTTTGTGATTTTTGTGGAGGTTTCAGGACAGGTTTCACATGTTTCACCCGTTGCCAACTGTACTCGACTTGCCCCGCCCAAGCAGTTGTTTCGCCTGCTTGGCAGATTGCACTGTTGCGATCTACTTGGATGTGCCAAAAGCCTTGGACATGGGGATCAAGCTCTTCCGTTCCGCCAACGACGTGGCTGCTGGGCCAACGACGCGCGCGTTCAGGGGAAGCAACCCAGTCCTGCAGAGTGCACAATTACCTGAATTCTGGAACAGGACAGGATGCAATTGGTTTATTCATGATTTCTTCAGAGCTGAATGTACTTCTAAGAACCGGAAGGACCTTCAGTGTCCGATACCCTTCGCTGACGCAAAAACCGGCAGCCTCTATACGGCCTTCGATGGCCTTCGCGCCGTGGCAAGGTCTTGACCCGCGGGGACGAAGCAGGACATGTTCCAACGGAGCTCTTCACACGAGTCGTGGAGATCAAGACGGGTCGGTTGCTTTGGTGCCGAAGCGGCACCATGTGGAGGTCAGGCGGATCGGGTTCAGGGGCTGAAGCATCGAAAGACAGTGGGCGGATGGGTTTGCGTGGTTTGATTAGCTTGGTGTGCACTTGCATCTAGATTGCTGGGAGCATGACATACACTTGTGTGTGTGAAACCCTTGGCCTCCCACAAGGGGAGGCGCAAAAACTAAGCTACGGGCAGGTGTGCATGTGTGCACGCGAAACAGACAAACAGATGAGAACATGAAAGGAGGACAAGACAAACCGGGTGTATGTGGTTGAAATGAAAAGAAACCAAGTGACCAGGGACAACCGATGAAGCCAAGCCTCCTTGTAAGCACCTGGGCGGCCTCAGACCTGGGTTTAAAGTGCGCGTATACATTAAGGACCAGACCAATGTGCGCGCAAGAGAGAGAAAAAGACATGAAGACAGAAAGGCGTGAAACGAAAACGGAAAAGAAGGTGTGTAAAGCGGAAGCGATGAAAGAAGAAACAAATGGAGCGGCCGGAAAGCCAATGAGTCCAAACCTAAACCAACGAGTTCGCGGGCTTTGGAGGCTTCATGGAGGTCAGATTGATTTGGTTGGACTTTCAGGTTCGTCGTATTCGTGGTGCCCTTAGGCGTTCATACCTAGGTGGGCGCGTGGCATGTGGCATTCAATTTCCGCACGCATTATCTCAAGTGTGCGTGTTTTTGTGTGTGGCAAGCCCTGTTCCTAAGGAATTCAGATTCACAATGTACAGTCTAAGCAAGGGGCCGGAGCAGGTGGGAGGTCTCCGGCCAACGAAGACAACCTCCACCTGGGTGAAAACGTACCTGCGGATTTTCCTCCAGTTTAGATGTTAAACTTTGCGAGGAACATCGTCAGTAACATCGTCGAGGTGTTTTAAACAATAACTGTTCAGGCTGACTTTACCACCCTTCCGTTGTGAGCAGGGCTGTTGCAGGTCTTAGTGTCGCGCTCTAAGTCCTATAAAGTCACTATAGAGTGGAACTTCACAACTGATTCTTCTCTTGCGACCCTATATCTGAGTGTGATCCACTGCCGTCCCACCACGGTGCACTGTGTGAACCCGAGATTTGGGCGCGTTTAGCACAGGCCCTTAAAAGGGAGATCCTTCACCAGGGTTTCCGGTCCTTTGCTATTCCCGGTTTTCTATCTGCTCGAGACTCGAGATTGCTGTTTCAAGAGTCCTTGACAAAGGACTTGCAGCGGCGGACTGCTCCGACTGTCAAGGCCCCGCCGGAAAAACTTTGGCGCGTTTTGGTGTTTAAAGAATAGAACGGAAACGGTTTGTATACACGTGGGGTGCATTTGTTGTCGTGTGAAGGCAGCCCCTATTTTTGCATCGCCCGTGACGCCCTCCCCTTGGACACACCGGGCCCAACTCGTTGACCGAACCGGCCCGTTTCCCGGTTTAAGGCTGCCGACGCCGCCTTCACGCGAAAGCATGGGCGGCAAGGGCTGGTCAAAGCGTCAGCGCCGTGCCCCCCCAGCCAATATTTAAACCTTGGTTGGGGGAAGCGGCTCCGGGTGAGACGTTAACATAGGGGCGCTGAGCAAGAAGGCGGGCGCAATGATTTGTGTCCAATTTTGAGCGCCCGAAAACCCTTTGATTTAAGATTGGCGGAGGAGCGAAACCGCCTGGCCCACACTGTTCACGGCAATTGCGCGCTCCCCGTTTTCCTGGCAAACAAGGAGCAACTGTCAATATGAGAGGTGAAAGGTCTAGACGCGCAAGAAACCGAGAAAGACACACGCAAAGACATGACAGATAACTTTCATTCAGGCTGTTGTGCAGGAGGGAGAAATCGGCTGGCGCACGCCTTGAACGGCAATGCTTCGGGCAGCGAGGCCGAGGGTTGCGGTTTTGTTGTTGCATGAAACCTGGCTTCTTCCAACTTTTTGACAGGACTTCCCTTCCTATGTGCGCTCGCCTTCCTTGCTCGCTCGTGTGATTTTCTGAGCGAGGATGAGGCGCTGCAGTCCAAAAATGAAATCTACTCTTGCACAAGCCATCGTGAAAGGACGACTTTGGCAGGAGGAGGCGCGGTCTTGTACACCGATGTCGTCAGTGAACCGCGACCAGGCGCTGGCCCCGCGCCTTGCCAATATCATGCAGTAGGATGCATCTAGGAGTTTCAATTTTTAATCATCCAACTGAGTAATTCACGCAGCGGTCCTTCTTTCTCTCCTTCCTGGGTTTTCTCTTTCTACTGTAGTTCTATGTTCGTTGCTAGAGGCTTATTAGGTTGTAAGTGAGGTTTTAGTCTAGGAGTTCCAACTTTTCATCCAACTGAGTAATTCATGCACGGGCTTTGTCTGTCTCTCCTTCCTAGGTCTTCTCTTCTAGGTCTTTGTTCGTTGCTGATGGCTTGCTATGTGTAACTCAGTTTTCTTTTGGGTCAAGGAAGCGCCGATACGGCTATTCGGGCTTGCCTTCTGGCAAACATGCCCTGCCTTCGGGCAAATGTTCCCCCCGCCCCGCTTGTCTTTCTTTTTTCTGGCTCTTCGTTTGTAAGGCCTGCTTCTCCGGGCTTGTTAGGTGACCCTTCAGGCTCGTTTAGTCGATTCTTCCCCAACCCCAGCCACCCCGCACCTTTCTTTCTGCTTTTCTCTAATCGTTTGTTGGGTCTGCCTCTCAGGTTCTTAGGTGATTCTTTGAAGGTTTCTTAGTTAAGGAGTGCCGTTACGGCTTCATGTGTGTGTGTGTGTCAAACCCTGTTCCTCAAAGACTCACACGAACTTAATGAGGACATGAAAAGAATCCTGTTTTAACGCAGAAAGGAAATTCTAAGCAAGGATTTTAAAAAGGACATGAAATGAATCTTTACTTAGAACAGAAATGGAAATCTAAGAATGAATTTAATAAGTGAAATACCTTTTTACTTAGAACAGAAAGGACATTCTAAGAAAGGAGTTCAATAAGGAAATGAAATAAACCTTTACTTAGATACTCAGAACAGGCGACAAAAATGTTTTGCTTTTATTTTAGGTGCACTTTATTTACGGCACGGCGGCTTCAAGAAAGGAGTTTAATAAGGAAATGAAATGAATCTTGACTTAGAAAAGAAAAGCAATTCTAAGAAAGGAGTTCAATAAGTGAAACGAATCTTCATTTAGAACAGAAAGGGAATTCTAAGAAATGAGGTTAGTAAGGAAATGAAATGAATCTTTACTTGGATTCTTAGGACAGGCAACAGACATGTTTAGCTTTAGTTAGGGTGCGCTTTATTTAGGGTATGGTGGCTTCATGACGGGTAGCCTTTCCAGAGTCGTTTCGATCAAATGTCAATGTCTTTTAATAAATGGTTTTATAGAGATGTTTTTTACAACGCAGGACTTGAGTTTAGCGACACTGTCGGAAGCACATGGCGCCAGTACTCGGCAAAAGCCGTTGTACAAACCCTGAAATCTATGCAACCGTGTCAGAAATGCAATATATGAACAAGACTGTGCAACTCATCACGAATGTCTGCGGCGCGACAAATTTAAGAGAAAATCAAAAAATATAAACACAGACAAACAAAAAACAATGTGTGAGACAAAATGGATGCAGAACCAAAGAACAAACAAAACCCAACTCCTATAGTACCCCACATTGGTTTTTATTGTTTTTGTTCTTTGTTTCTTTTTTGGCTTGTAGTATTCCCTCAAAACTGTTATAGGCCTGGCCCTCACAAAATTGATCTAACAGTAGCTGAAAAAAACCTAGGTTTTTGTGATGTTTTAGCAAAAAAACATTGTAAAACACAATGTATCCCCTCTAAGCTAAACTGTTATAGGCCTGGCCCTCACAAAATTGATCTAAAAATAGTTGAAAACCTAGGCTTTTGTGATGTTTTAGCAAAAAAGCACTGTAAAACAGAGTGTTTTTGATCACTTCTTGCGCAAAAAACATCGCCCATGGAGCACGTGCCTTTTGTGTTTACACTAGGACGAAAACGGTTTGTATGCAGGCTGAGATGCATTTGTTGTCGTGTGAAGGCAGCCCCTATTTTTGCATCGCCTGTGACGCCCTCCCCTTCGCAGACTGTGCGGCTCTTGGACACACCGGGCCCAACTCGTTGATCGAACCGGCACGTTTCCCGTTTCAAGGCTGCCGACGCCGCCTTCATGCGAAAGCATGGGCGGCAAGGGCTGGTCAAAGCGTCAGCGCCGTGCCCCCCCAGCCAATATTTAAACCTTGGTTGGGGGAAGCGGCTCCGGGTGAGACGTTAACATAGGGACGCTGAGCAAGAAGGCGGGCGCAATGATTTGCGTCAGTCCAGTTTTGAGCGCCCGAAAACCCTTTGATTTAAGATTGGCGGAGGAGCGAAACCGCCTGGCCCACACTGTTCACAGCAATTGCGCGCTCCCCGTTTTCCGGGCAAACAAAGAGCAACTATCAATACCAAGGGCAACGCGCAAGAAACTAAGACATGACACATAACTTTCATTTGGGTAGTTGCGCAGGAGAGAAATCGGCTGGCGCACGCCTTGACTGGCAATACGTCTGGCAGCGAGGCCGGGGGTTACGGTTTTGTTGTTGCGTGAAACCTCGCTCTAACCTTTTGACAGGACTTTCCTTCCTATGTGCGCTCGCCTTCCTTTCTCACTCGTGATTTTCTGAGCGAGGATGAGGCGCTGTAGTCAAAATGAAATCTACTCTTGCACGAGCCATCGTGAAAGGACCGACTTTGGCAGGAGGAGGCGCGGTCTTGCGCACCGACGTCGTCAGTGAACAGCAACCAGGGCTGGCTCCGCGCCTGGCCAATATCATGCAGTAGGACGCGTCTAGGAGTTTCAAGTTTCAATCATCTAACTGAGTAATTCACTCAGCGGTCCTTCTTTCTCTCCTTCCTGGGTCTTCTCTTAGAGGCTTGTTAGGTTGTAAGTGAGGTTTTAGTCCAGGAGTTCCAACTTTTAATCCAACTGAGTAATTCATGCACGGGCTTTTTCTTTCTCTCCTTCCTAGGTCTTCTCTTCTAGGTCTTCGTTCGTTGCTGATGGCTTGCTATGTGTAACTCATTTTCTTTTGAGTCAAGGGAGCGCCGGCAAATGTTCGCCCCCGTCTTTCTGTTTTTTTCTGGCTCTTCGTTTGTTAGGCCTGCTTCTCCAGGCTTGTTAGGTGACCCTTCAGGCTCGTTTAGTCGATTATGCACCTTTCTTTCGTACACCTTTAGGCTCGCTTAGTCGAAGTCACCCGCAACCCCCCTACCACCCCCACCGCACCTTCCTTTCCTGTTTTTCTTCTTCAATTGTATGGTTTGCCTCAGGTTCTTTTTTCTAGTGAGGTTTCATATTTCGTGGTGACCTCCCAATCCATCAGTCCGCACTCTGGACTCTGCGCGTCGTGTATTGATGTGCCATTGGATCCGAGGCCTCCAGACCCAGAGGTGGATGATGCGACTGAGGTGGGGGAGATGGGCTTTGCCAGGTTGAGTAATATAGCCGGAGTTCTATACCAATTCCGTTTACTTGGAATCGGGAGTTCGGGAACCATCAGGAACCCCAAACAAACCCACCCTAGGAGCTTCAACTTTCCAAAGGCTCTTAGTTTAACATAGTTTAACATTTAGTAGTCCGAGTCTTAGTTTAACATGTCCCTCCCCAGAGCTTCATGGTCCAAAGTCAACGAATTGGATCGTGTTTCGATGGCGAGTGGGTTGCATTTGGGCCGGCGTTTTGTGTATTGTGACATATTGGTCCTTTGGGCCAGGGAAAGCCATTATATATATATGTATATATATATATATATTGGTTGAGCCATAATGTATTTATTATTTGAACCGCCCGCGGCCAGAGCGTCTTGGCGAGCCGTGGCCGGCTGTCGCAATGCAGCTGGCAACTAAATATGTTGCCAGAGTTATGGACTTATAATTGGTTGCGTTCGCAAGCCATTTTCCCGGGCCAAGAGCACTTCAAACCGCAGGGCCCGTCATGGGGGTCGATTGAAAGTAGAAGGTGCTCCATCATTATAGAGAGCAAGGGGTGCAATTGAGCTGGTGTGTTATGCAACGCGTGGAATGGTCTCTTTGCCACGACTATACAGTGGTCTCTTTGGACTGACACTCTTTCTGCTTCCTCCAGGAAGAGGACAGCGCCTGGGCTAAATTGGAGCATTGCAAGCTGGGGTGCAGGGCCGACGCCCGCGTTTGGGACACGAAGCAGAGGGCTTCACTGTCGACGTGTGTTTGACTCTGCGAAGCACCCATGGGACCTGTGGCACAGAATTTGTGATGTATGATTCCATCGTTTTGTGTGGATTCTCCAACAAAAATATGTCAGCCCACTCTGTCGAGCCAAGACTGGGACGAGCTGACACGCCGACATCCCAAGGCTTCCAGCCGCATGTGACCATCGCAAAGACCAGTCGTGCGCGCCAGCACGCAAGCGGTGCTCGCATTCCAGAGAGCTGCTGGCAGGCTGGACCCAAAATCCAGAAAAATATCCCTGTTTGCTGTATACGTGGCATGGGTCAAGAGTAAGGACACTGGGGATTACAGATTCTGTTCAGCTGCACAAGTCAAAGTTGATTTGCATCCTGGCAGCCGGCACCCTACTTTTGACCTGTTCCCATGTTGGAGTTCAGGATGTTCACCCAGAAAACTGCATGAAACGTGAGAGAAAATCATTGGACTTGATCGCTGCATGTTCTCGACTCCTTCATCAACTGTAGCCTTTACTCCCACCGGCACTAGGCCACTAACCCACGTGATCTTCTTTGCTTCGTCACGATTGAACCCTGAAATGCCGCTGTCCAGAACCGACCAAGTTGTGACCGGGTCGACCTCTCCAACTCCCACTCAGGCCCTCCGGAAGGTGGAGCTGGGCACCGTGATGGTTGACTCCCTCGAGCTGTGTCGGATGAAGGGCGATGAGCAAACAGGTGGAGCTCCCTGGGCCGAAAGTCCAGGTGTTGATCCAAACGCACCTTCGATCAAACTGAATGCATGGGGGGGAAATGATGAGATATTGGTTTGGCATTGGTAATGGTTTGCAGTATAAGCCCGGGTGTTACACAAAGACGATGCCCAGTATGACAGCATATGAATCTGATAGCCATAGTAGTCAGAGCATGTTAAAACTTCAATCGGAAGCCAGGCGTTTTGCGACCTGTGAATGTGCATCAGAGTCTGAGGGCGACGGTAAAGAATCCCACTCTTTTGGTGTTAAACATCTCCGGATATCTACGGTAATTTTGGTATTTTCTGCACTCATAGATGTCTATGTAAACGCAGGATGAGCAAAGGGAATGTGATATCAAGCTGGCTCGGGGTCTCGGACATGGAGGTCTCCGACATGGGGCGTGTGGGACCTGTAAAATTATGGTGCGCGGGGCGAGCCAAGGACAGGCGTCGGGAGGTGATGTGGGTAGTGGACACTGGTGTGTCAGACATGTTGGTATATGGTGTGCAGGAGGAGCACAAAAAGAGTGTGGCTTGACATTGCAACGCCAGCCGAGGGTAACATTTGGAGAAGGAAGGAGCCATTCCAACGTAGCATGCCTTTTGTGAGGCACCATTCCAACCTAGCCCACCTTTTGTGGGCAACCCGGGGTGAAAATTTACAGCCATACATAGCTTTTGTTGGGCAGCCGCGGGTAAATGTGGTATCAGCTATGGGGGTCTCGGACATTGATCAGACACTGGGGTGTCGGACGTTTTGATTTGGGTTGCACATGTGCCTATACGGGTGAGCGCAGGAGTGTGGTGGTGGACACTCCCGCATATAGGTCTCGGACGTTGAAGTCTCAGACAGATTTACATACGCAAGGTGAGCAAAGGGAATCAAACACACACTCCGGTCACACTCCTTTGTTTGGAGTGTGGTTCGTGGAATGTGAAGCCCTTAGCCTTTGACAGGCATTGTTAGAGTTGAGACTGCTAGCGGGTGGTGGGTACACCCATGCAAATCAAGTTTAAAATCGTTTAAAAGACCTGTAGGCATGACCAACTATTGGTAACCTTCGTTGTCACGGTCGCAATAGCAGGTTGGCGGTTGCCTCTCTTTGTTTGCGACGTGCGCGCGCGAGTGGTGGGAGAAGACCACCCCAGGCTACCAGTTGCCACACTTGAAGAAGCGTGCGCCAGGCTACTACGAAGTCGAGCACAAAGTGTCCCTGCAGTGCCGCTGAGACAGTCCAAGTCCAGGAGGGGCGAACACATCCGCTGGACCAGACCTTGTGGTCATTTTTCCGCCATCCAATCAAGTGGTGGCCGTCCTTAGGTCAAGCGCAGGGAGGTTTCCTTTCATTTGGGCGTGGGTGCCTCAATGGTGTTTCCACTTGGCCAGTCCAAAACCCTTCTACAAACCAAAGTAGCCACAGAAGGATCACTGGTGTCAAGCCTCACACCCAATTGAATTTGCCTTCATACTACCGTTCCCGCGACAGCAAACACTCCGACCCTCAAAGTGGGGTCCAAGCCCGTCGCGGGCTCCAATGTGGAGCTGTAGGAGATTTGAAGACCGTTCCAACCGTATCATCGTCAGTATATGTCGAAAAGGCTTCGTTAGCATTTGCAGGATGTTTGTAACCTCCCCAACGCGAGCAGTGCGAGGTTTTGTCAACACTGTGCATGACAGGCTTGGAACACTTTGGGTTGTGGACATGTTGCATTGGCAAGTTGCTATGGCATTGCTGGCTCTAAGGACCTTTGAGCCTGACATCATGTACACACACCGCGCGCACATTCACCGACCCAATATATCCCATATGTTTGACAAGTCCTCCATGATGACCCTAAATGTGAACAATTTTACCTCTAAGCTGGGGGTCGCAACAATCATTGACCTCGGTCTGGGGTTCGTCATTTGTAAAAAGGCTTGCCAGCTCCATCTCTAGAAGGCTTAGCCCCCCATGGTGCACGTGTTTGAAATGGTCATGTTCGGGTGGTCATTCTCGCAGCGAATTTTGAAGAAATCACAACGGCCCGGCATATTAACGATCTGACCAAGATGAACATCGATATAAATCGTGCTTTTATGCTCTTGTGCCTCGATCTGTAAATGGACCATAATTATAACTATAGTTATAGCCTTAGCTTATAACATCTTATAACTACCCTTCTTGAGCGGACGACAAACTCTTGAAGCAAAAATGATCGAGCAAGTTTCACCATTTCCCAATCTTACTAGGATGCTGCAAATCATGCGTTGATGCTTGGTCGATTGGGCCTCCGACTGGCCGCCGGGCGGCTCACCCTTCCGTGCTGCAAGGAGGGTCAGTGACTCCGCATCACCTGAGGTGGCGGGCATCACTTGGACGTTGCTAGCACCGAGGCGGTGGCTGATGTTACCGATGTTTCGCAGTTTTGTTCGACTCGGGTTGATCAATGACATATGAGAGCACTCTTCTGCAAAAGCTAGGATAGACTAACAAGTTTTTGCATGTCGGCCGATCCTTGAGTGGCCTTCCATTGCCCAAGATTGCCCATTGCCATGCCGAAATGGACTCACACAGAAGGCCAGAAATACGATGAAATACGGTCCCAGGTCGTTTGTCCTGCGTGGCAGCCGTGCCCAGTGGCAGACTTATTTCCTCAGTGATGGTGCAAGGCTGACATCCTATATATATTTTTAAATATACATTATGTTATCTTTATATCTATACACCTATCCCAAGTCACCTGAACCTAATATACTCCTTTAGCGCGTTCAACCTGATTCAGCGAAACACTTGCCAATCTTGCCACCAAGTTGGCAATGAGTTTTTGAACGTTTTGGCGAGGACACGGCGCCACACCGCCCGCATGGCCGAGTTTGGAGGTGGTGATTCTCGGCCTAAAAAAATGGTTTGGTGAGAGAAAGCGCATGCAGTATTTGCAGCACAAATTCCTTTCGCATGAGCGAACGAAGAAGTTCCCAAGGAATCAGGGCCTCGGATGGCCAAAGATGCGGCTTATGCTGAAGCAGTGTAGCTGGGGCGAGTTTTGGGGCGGTCAGTCTTTGCGTTTGCCGTGCGACTGTCCGCAGATATCTTTGTTGACATGTTTGTTGAGGCAGGCTGCTTGGCAAGCCGATCCTGCTTTGAAGGCAAGGGTGCCTTGTCGCCTTCGACCTCAGCGGTCTTCAGCTACCTTTGCTTCAGCTGCAGGGAGCTGGGCCCTTCTCGGTGGAACCCTTGCTCTACCAAGACGAGGAGATCCGTCGGACGTGTCTCTCGCCGCGACGCGCGAGACGAAGCGCCACGCTCTCCGAGGCGGGCCGTGCTCGGCTCCATGGACGAGTCGTCCGAGCACGGAGCGGTTCCAATGGAGCAGGTGTGGCCTGCAGCTCGGATTTGAGCGCAATGAGTGCCTTGCATTTGGGCCATGGGGACCAGGGGGTTTGTGAGGTGGTGATCCACACAGCTGTTGGGCCTAGAGACTTGTGCCGTGGAGGGTGAGAAGGCAGTGGGCTTTGGTTCCTTCTAGTTGAGAGGTACTTGCATTGGCGAGCTGAAGTCTTGGCGGCCCAGGGCTACACGGTTCTCATTGCAGATTTGCTGGGTGATGAGCCCGAAGCCAAGTCTCCTTTCTCATGGTTGTTCCTGTCCGCTGGCAATGGGCAATGGCATGTGGGGATGTTCGGGCAGACTGGCGTGGCTCAAGCTATGATGAAAATAGCATGTTGTACATCATATGATGTGTATATATATATATATATGATATGTGTGGTGGTGTGGTTCGTTAGGTTTCAATTGCCGTTGATTGCCTCTATATGGCTTCTGTTTTGGGGGGGCCCAACTGACAGCCCACCCCCCTGCAGTCCTGTGGTCCTCAGAGTCGAGGTGGTACTCTTTCTTGGACTCAAATGCACCCTTCTCACACTTCCAAGGCACGGAGATGGTTGGGAGCACCGACCTCAGCCGTTGCAGTCCACGCGGACGACGTGCGCTGTGCGGCGCGTCGTCCGCGGACGGCAGGCCAGAGTGGAACAGCCGGGCCCGGCAGCCGCTGGACGATCGGGCCTTAAGTCGCAAGAGGCGCACAACGGTGGACGACGGGCCTCGACATGGTTTGGTGCACGTTGCTCCGGGAGCAAGGGATTGATGGGGATAGCCTGTTTTGGGGCCTTGTGGAGGGGTATGCTGGGCAAGAACACACGGTTTGATGTAGTGAAGTTTGCCTGCTCGCGGGTGTGGAAATTGACGATGTTTGCCATCGAGGCATGGGTTCTCTCAACACAGATGGGCATGTTGTTGACTGATCACCAAGGTGTGCATGTTGATGATACAATGTTGTCGTAGATCAAGGGAGTCGCGCATACTAGCGACTAGCACCTGCATGCACATGCCAACGTTGCCGGAGCCTTGATTCGCAGCTGAGTCAGGATGAGAGCCTCAGTTGAAGCGCTTGCAGCGACACCAGGCCATTGAACCGCCGCTGGTCTCGTGATTATGCTGAGTGTCACTTTGATGGTTGGTTGTCTCTTCAGAGGCGTTGACCACAAGCGAATCGCGGCCATGGGCTATTGCTTTGGAGGAAGAACTGTCTTGGACTTGGCGCGCCCAAACCTCAGCAGTGGACCGGCAGTCGAATCCGAACAGGCCCCCCACGGCCCCCACGGTGGGTGAAGGCGGAGCAGGTTTACTCAGTATCCTGTCCTAGATGAACCATTTTGAACCTACTTCTTTTTCGCGGCTGTTCACAGTTAAAGTGAGTAGAAGGCCAGGTTAAGATCGTCAAATTAATTGATATATTCATGTATTGGGAGATTGTGTCATCTAGTACCGGTGCTTCTGAAGCTTCTTCGACAATTTGAAAAACTACTAAGATGACAAAGTCTGACAAGGCCTGGGCTCTTCGGCTGGAATTGTTGCCGCGACCCCATTGAAATGCCACTGAGTGGCTCCAGAGTGATGGCAAAAACGGTAGATCTTGGGGGTGTCCCCTTACCTGCAACAGTCGGTAAACAACAATATAAATATATAAACATTTTTAGACAAAAGGCCTTTGCTATCCATCATCCATTGTTACAGGTAATTGGATATACCTGTTCGGTCAATCGCATGGTGTTCGGTCAGAACCTCATGCAACCTGTAACCCTCCGACGCCTGCCACGGTCCGAGCCCCGAAGGAGCCCCAAGCTGTGAGCACTTGTTACTAGTAGCGATGCACTTGTTCCTAATAGCGAACCTGTTACTACTAGTAAGGCCAGGAGCCCCTAGTAGCTTCTTGCTCCTAGTAGTAAGGCACTTGTTCCTAGTAGCTTCTTGTTTCTACTTGCCATGGAGATACCCTCCTTGCAGCTGTCCATGATTCCATCCATCTCGACTCCCATGGGTGGCGCGATTAACTCAGAGGCCGGATGGTTCTGCAGAACAGGGAGGTCCCCGGCATGACCTTCCATGATTTGGAGTCCTCATCCCTCCTGGACGGAAGGACAAGCAGTAGGAAAAGCATGTGGAAGATCAACAGCTTGCTTGATTGATGCCTAATTATTTGTTGCAGGGCCAATTTTGCATGACAAGCCCTGGCTGAGTTCCGTTGCTAGGCCATGGCCACGGGTGGTCCCAGCCCTGCTGCGGTGGAGTGGCTCTACCATGCTAGCAGCTTCGCCTATGCTGCGCCATCACCCGTGCACGAGGCTGGAGGCAAAAAAATGCCACAAGCTGTGTAAGCTCCCCCTGGCAACCCAAGCAACCCAGAACAAATGATGTCCATGTGGCAATTGAGATCCTTTACATAGGAAGTGGCTGGGACTGAGGAAACATCCAGAACTGTTTGTGGTTCAGACTGGGAAACCGTTCGGTCCATATCACACCTCACTTCGGCCAAGATCGCATCGTCAGGCGCTGGTCGAAGCGACCTTCCGCCGCTGCCGCTACGACGCGCGGTGCGCCAGTGAGGCCTTCCAGGAGGTAGCAACCTCGGTGTCCGCATATGAGGCGGAGGGGGCCAAAATGCGAGAGGTGTCGGTGGGGATGTGCAGATCCTACTGCAATCTATGCTGTTTATGCTGTCTAATGTTTGGTGTTCATAATGCCTTATTAGCGGCTTTTGCACCAATGAAGGTATGGTATGATGCTTTTAAGACTTCCAGGTGTACGGTGTACCAAAGTCCTGAGTGATGGATAGTGATGGGGCATCGTTCCAATGTATCTGGAAAGCTCATGAAAGTTCAATTCTCCCCATCCCCACCCACCACAGATTGTAAGTTGATGTCATAAGTACGTTGAGAACGGACATTTTCTCCATGAGGTTCTACGATTCCATCAGGATCTATAGTCACAGGCCATTCAGCACATCATAAGTCCGATTGCTGGAGGAGAGCTTGTCCTGGTGGTGCCGCCGATGCTGGGAGGACCGTCGCACGAAGGAGGCGGCCGATGCCGTGAAGCGCCAGAAGAGCCCAATGCACCTGAACGGGACAAGTCAAGAACCTGTGCCACCAAGATGTGTGTCAGTCTAAAGTTTAGGGTCGTGAAACGTGAATAGTGAAAGGACATTCTTTTTCGTAGTTTGGCGGAAGAAGTGTGGTTTACACAAATTAATGGTCGGTTCATGTCGTTTCACATCGCCCCTCCCTTTAAAACATGTATGGATTTTTGCATCGTTCTTTCTTGCGTTCTTTTGCGCCGTTTCGCGAGATCTCTTTTCTGCTCACTTCGTGGAAAACCGAGAAGCAAAAAAACATAACAAACCATAACAGACCCAGCCGTTTCATCCAAAAACGATGTATTTTTTCAAACAATTTGGCATCTTGTTATTGGATCTTATTGGTACAGTATATAGTATAAAATATCTAAACCAATTGATATCTATGGCATGTCATGGTGATATGATGGTTCCACTTTGATCCCCCGAAAGCAGCGCACAAACCTCGTCCTTTTCCCCTTTTCCCGAGGCATCGCGCCTTCGCACTCTCCTCCTATTGCCGTTTCGGCGCCACCGCCCGGCGCGCGGCCACCAGCGCCACCCGCGGCGTCCTGAGCTCGGGCGGCTCTGCCGAGCTGCTGCAGGGCTGGCAGCGCTGCCGCGTCGCACGTGCGCGCCCGCGGGAGGCGGCGGAGGCAGCGGTGCATGGGGCGGAGCCGGCGCAGTCGCTGGATGAAGGATTGGAGCTGTGCTGTGGGGATTTGCGATGCATGGAGAAGCTGATGGAGTTGCAGCCGTCCTTGAAAGAAGGGATGAAGCTGAAGACTTTTGAAGCAGAATAGTACATGTATCAATAGAAGTGAAGTTCTAGAGCTGACCACTAATGGAACCGGTGCTAGGTTGAAAAATCTAGCCATTGTAATCCCGGCTAGAAGTCTCAGCAGGCGTGCGCAAAAAGGATCCACTTTGGTGACCATTGGCACCAAACATTGGGGCAAACACAGACGAGTGGAGGCAAAGTCTGATTGTCAAGAGTCAGGATTTTCTTACAGGCTGCTGTCTCATTCCACGGCATACTTGACGATGGAGTGGGGCCCCCAGTCGTAGCCTTGAGATACCTGTAACCTCGAGAGTCTGATCTTGGTTTGGCCATGTACGATATATATACAGTATATATATATACATATATTTGTGATATATCTATACACATAGATGTACACAGTATAGCTTGTATAAATTATAGTCATCATATCAGTGATATGTATATGTACGAATATAAAATAAGCAGAATTGTGTCTATATGTCATGTATAAATTTAGGTACATATGTGTATGTGTGTGTGTGCGTATGTATTTATGACATACATATAACCTTCATTCAGGTGATTGCTTCGGAGGACATGTCCAGCCCAGATGCCCCCGGAACCGGGAGTTTCTGTTGTGAGAGACCATTCAAAGCGAGACAGCAAGCACTCCTGTACGAAGCTGGTTGAGGCCGCGCGTGCTGATTTGTCATGGTGATGCCGACCCCTTCATCAGCGCAGCCAGTCGCGCAGCGTTGGGGGGCCAGAGCCGGCCAGAGCTACAATTGCACTTCTGACTTGCAAAGACTATAGACTATATATAGGTCTTGGAATCGGGCAAGTGGGCCGGCCCCCTTTCGCTGTGGATGTGAAACTGATGAATGTGAGCCTCCAATCCTTTTCAGCTGCGGGGGGGCAGACACCTTCGGCGGCGCCGAGCCGACGACAACATCCGATGAGGTGTGAGGCACAACTTCGTGGAGCCAATGCCCGCTGGGACCGCTGGGCGGGTACTGGTGGCAACCTGCCGCGGGTCAGACTGTTGCGTCTAGCACATCCGGGAGGAGTTGAGAGACATCAGGATGATCACGAAAAATGCAAAATCGAATCCAACAGTTGGCTTCAAGGTCCTGCATTCACCGAACTTTGACTCAAATCGGCCTTCAACATGAGGTCCAACGAGTTTCATGGATTGTTTGTTGGCCTCTCCGCGCTGCGAGGACATGCTCGTGCTCGGAGGTGTGCGGCATGGATTTACCAATCCTGCTCAGGTCCAACGCGTGCCCAACGCGTGGCGCGGCTTTGGCGCGGCTTTCGTTCTCCATCAGTTGTGTTTTTTATTGTCTCTGGTTTGCATGCCAGGCTTGACAAGAAGCTCTGACTAATTAACCCATAGTTGGATACTGATTACAGCGACAACTCTTGCGAAACTAACTAGTCTACAGATGTTTGCAGACTTTGATGGTTTGATCAAACTCCGCAAAACTGATAATGAAACACAAATGAAGCATGATAAACAAAGGCGGTTAAATGTTTTTGTTCCACAGGCCTCCAGTTTTTGAAGCCATGAATCCATTATACATACATAATCATACATATGTATATATTATATATATATATATCGTAACATATCGTAACATTCAATATTATATATATATACGTATATGACTCACTTATGTTCTTCTCTTGTCGTTCCGACTATCTTCCATCGTTCCTGGGAGGCCTTGAATCCCAACCCATCCTTTGGGTACTGCCCGCGTGCTGCGGCAGTCTCTTGGAGGGCAGCTGAGGAGCTCTTAGCTGAAATGTTGAAGCCATGAGAGGTGCGACTCTGACTGCCATGGGAAAAACTGAAGACTAGATGGGCCAACGCTGCTCCATGGTTCTCGTTTGCAAACGCGAGCATTCGGTGAACACCAGGTCGTTCGTGTTTGACACACTCAATGTTTGAAACCAGACATGCCTATGCGATTGGTTTGAACGTGTCGAAGCTGCCCTGAAGTGCTTGGAGTGAAAATGCTGACTGATCGTCCTTGCAGATCACTTGCCCCTGCAGTCCTGCACAGCTTGCTTGAACATGTCTTTGGATGTCTTTGGCATCAATGGCTCACAGGGAGTAGGACCTGCTTTTCAAGAGCTCCGGGGCGCCTTAAGCGGAGGCCAGACACTCAAGCTTGTGCCGGTCCTCCAAATCGCCCGATGTCCCCTTCCGCAGTGAGCTTCGGACTTGATAGCTGAGCTGAGGCCATGAGCAAAGAACGTGCTGCCATGTCGAAGTTACCCGCACTTCTCACACCTGGTGCCCGAGCCCCAGCATGCTCCATGGGACAAAGGCGAGAAAGGCCCGGCATGCTTTGGTCTGTGGCAAGGCACCGAACGGAACTGGCACTGGCTACAAGCAGACAAAGCAAGAGACATCACCGTCAAGCCCTGAGCAGAACAAAGTAGGGAGACTTTGTGAAGCAATTCCTTTGGCATTTGAGCATGCACAGATTAGACACTCAGGCCATGGTAGATTGATATTACGTAGGTTGGCATCTCCAGAAAGACTTGTAAGTAGTGACATAGAGCGATATTGAATAATGAGTAATTATGCGTATATATCTATTTGTTGTGTTCCTTTGTGGTGTGTGTTCAATATCGGTCAAAGTTATCTTTTCAACACTGCGCCTGCACTTTGGCATTGTTCTTCCCTGAAGGCACGACTCGCGGGCCAAAGAACCTCAGGCCAGTGAGGATATGCCCAGAGCAATTGCTGACAGGGCAATAAACTCCCAAGCCTTAGCGGCGTTCATTCCGGATTCTCCGAAACATCGGCACACCACGGGTCACCACGGCGCCTGTGAGCATCGGCCGGGCCACCCCGCCGCCTCAAGAGAAGATTAAAAAGATGTCGAAGTTGTAATTGTGTAGGTGAGTTGTGTATTTTGTTCTCATGTCTTCTCCATTTATCTCATCGTCTTCGCTTTTTGTCTCGTTCCAAGCGAGACAAGACGTGAGAAGTGACGTGAGACCCGCCCCTGAGGGCCATTTGCCGCAGCTGGCCAAACCGGAGGTGGGTGGCATACCGCCGTTTGTGGCTTTCGATGATCGCTGGCACGACCCAAGAAGCTCCGGTCCTTTGATTTGTTGTACTCAAGCGAATTCTTCTCTTGATATCTCGGACAGTCAGTATTCTGTGGGCATTCACATGTATTCACTGATCCTATCCAATAAATGCCATACACTTACAGCAGCCTTCATTCGAACGGTCTGCGGCTCGCGGGGTGTGCAAGGAGGCTGATGAGACGCATGGAGAAGGTCCCGTCCGCTCTACCAGCAAGGCAAACCAGCCGCTTGACGCCGGCCCAAACAGCAACGATGAGTCGCTTTCAGACAATTTTTGTGGGCGGATTACAAGGACAATCACAGGAAGATCGATGCAATAGATCACGGGAAAGTGCAACAACTAATATCTTGATGATGTGTTGACACATGTTTGGCAACATCACATGCGTCGCGCAGTGCCAGCCATGCGAGGGGTCCCTAGACCAGTTCTTGCTGGAGCTGGTGGACCCCTACAGCAAAGGCCGGAGAGAGCGACAGGGAGATGGAATGGACGTCCGAAAAAGACAGTATGGATTGCCATGAGCAGCTGGAGTTTTAGGGGTTCGGAGTCTTATGTTTAAGCCTTCCCTGCGCTTACCTTGAGTAATCATATTTGTATAGTATTTTGTCTCATGAACTCATGTTTGGCGATACGAGTGACAGCCACTTGGCTGACCTGCTTCAGTTTCCGGTGGCCTTCCAAGGCCTTGTGCGGTTCATTGACTTTGCATGGCTCCATGTCCGGCTGTGGGGGACTGAGTCTTGCGCACATTGCTCCAGGACACACTGCCATAGGAAAGGTGGGGCATTGGAGATGAGTGGTTCTTGTTGAAAAAAAACATGCAGGACCACTCAGGACAGTGGCACCTGGTACCTCGTTCAACCCTACAGGAACAACTATGAACATGCCTGCCTTTGTAAGACAGCTGCTGACCATGCTTTTGTGCCTCATGTGCCTCATGGGAGTGCTGTCTGAGGATGTACTACAATGGGCAAAACACTAGTATTCAAGAGAGACTTCAGAGCCTGGGCGGTGTCTACCCACAGCAGGCCATGAGCTTAGACCAGTTAGTTTGGATTCCAGGAAGCCATGCTTAAGACCTGTGACCAAGGTCTTCCGAAAGTATGACATTGATCAGGACAATCATTTGGATAAGGCTCCCGGCTTTTGATCACCTTTGTGACCAGCGGTCTTTGAAGTGATGCACCTGAACATTTTTGAACATCCTCGCGCAATCATTGCCTCATGTTGGTAGAGCAGCATCAACTATCAAGGAACCAACCTAGGACTGGACCCTGACATGAATTGATACTGATAGAGGTGACACCACCACGGCGAATTCACTGCAAATGTTGTTGCAGGCGGAGTGGCATGAATACTCCACAAGCCCATACCTAAGCTGACCAGTTGATGAACCAGCACGTGATAGCTTGGAACCACGTGACATTGGACCATTTCCCAGGTGCTACTCGCACCAAACCACTAGTCTGAGGATCGACCCAGCTTTCTCCCTCAAAGCATATGCCTTGTTGATCCTTTTTGCGGGTTCATGCCTCAACTGGCAACGTGGATGGGCAATTGCCCACGTAAAGTAATTACTGTAGGTTAAACCACACCGGTTTAGTGCGGTCTAATGGAGGCTATAGTGATATAGTGCAATATTACATCACAAAGACATATTATCTTGTTCCTAAAAGCTTCTTGTTACTACTAGCTTTATTGTTACTAGTAGTAAGGCACCTGGTACTTGTGACTACTAGCTTCTTGTTCCTAATAATTTAATATATATATATGTATATTATATGTATGAATTGGTCTTTCGGACTGACTACGTCGTGCCGTGCGTGCACATTTGGCTGTCCGTCCATTCACCCTCTTCACCGGTGCACTGTGCCCAAGGCTTGATTGCTGTCCAGATCTGAGGGACTGCATAAGGGTTCACCATGAACAATCGGCTCCATTCGAATGGCCCCAGGTCCTGGGAAAGGCCTATCTGAAAGATGCTTGCAAAGGCCAGCTCTTTGGTTTTGTCCGTGGAGCACCTCAACTAAGCAACTAAACAATCAGTGAGTGGATAGGAACAAGAACATCGTCTCTCTCAGCAACTTGATGCAACTGTTCATGTGAAAGAAAAGCATGCTGTTCCACCATGTTCCATCCAAGGCCCAAACCACCGAAACCACTCTTCTCACCGCAAAAAACATGCCACCCAAACCGCCGGGTGAGGCTTGCTGCGGGAGCAGCATGAACAAGAGGCCCGGAAGGTCGCTGGGCCCTTCACCTGGAGGCCCGACCAGAGATGCCTGAGGAGAAGGGGAGTCTGTCTTCTACTGTAGGGTGGTGGAAGAAGGTGACAAAGCCGAAGTGGTTTCAGCATGTTTCAGCATGTTTCAGCTGTTCATGCTCATTGTCAGGGACAACCCAACTCAAAAGAGAAGACATGTTCAGAACCTCAGAACGTCCGGTCTTCTAGCCTCGGCACACTGAGCCAAGAGAGAAGAAAAGCTCTCTTGTGTCTCAAAGCCAGTTCGCAGATGCCTCGGACGCCTTGAGCGAACGGATTCTTGATGTGGTCGAGCAAGCAAGATTCACTAGACAATCGACTTTCAGTGAGTCATAGGAAACCGGTCTCGAACAGACAGCATGGCTTGCCAATGTTTGCCAGGTATGATGATCAAGCCTCACGTCAGCTGCTTGAAAAGGCGAGGTTGAGACACGTCCCGTCCACTCCGCCACAGCGCAGTCCACCGTCTGGCGGGGACATGTCCACCGCTTGGCCGTCTCGACGTCGCGAAGCTCTGAGAGTGCAGAGCTCTGAGTGCGGCAGGTCTCATGTGCGCAACACCTTGGCCGGGATCAAGAAGAAGTGGTTGAGGCAAGGGACAGCTCCCCGTTGAGCATAGACGCCAGCTTCTAGGGCACAGATTGGCATAGATCAGGGATCTGTTTTGGAAGAGTCGCGAACCACTGCAAAGATTCCTTTAGCATCCACTGTGCCCTGATTCGCCTCAGTCATAGCTACCAGGGCCAGTGGCCAATCTGCAAAGTTTGAGGGGCCGAGCAAGTTGGTCAGAAAGTGTGTTTCACGGTTTATTGAAATCTTTGTGCCAGTGGCTTCATATCACTGATACTTCACTGATCCCGCTTGGTTTTTAGACCTGGACCTGTGCTTGCACATCCGCCAGTGGCGGAGACGCAGCCAATGAAGGGAGGGCCTTCTCGGGGTCCTTCTTCGTCGCCCCAGGGGCTGCTCAAGAAATTTGCCGATCCAAACTATGGAGATCGCGAGATGCTCAGCAAGTGTTTGCCCTTCTCACGATCATCCGCATGGCTTTCCTGGTCGCAGGAGTTGTTTTTGGGATTCACTCGTGGGAGAGAACATGTGCCATTTCGCAATGTCCGCTTTTCTTCAGTCCAAAGTGCCTCATGTTTGCATCAAAGGTCAAGGGCAAACCGTTTTATGGTATGCCGCGACCAAGTGCGATGCGCATTGTATGGCAAGGCCTTAGCTGACGAACACATCCTACTCAGTGTACCGTGCTGGTACCGCAACGATCAGTCTGTTTGTCACCATACTTCTTCGCAAGTTGCTTCAATCAAGTAAAAAAAATGTAAATTACTTATTTCTACTCAAAGAGGCAATTAGCATCAGCTAAAATGAACCATTTGACCAAAGCCAATCGCATCCAGTATAGCCTATAGTTATTAATAGCTAATTAGTTCCACTCAGCTTCCACCTGGATACATGCCCTCTTACCATGTGGCGGAGGCTTTTGGAACATGGTGGCAGTGCCTGTGCAGCTGGGCCTGACTTGGACTCGCCGGTGCTTGCTGCTGCCCGGGCACGGAAGCTGCAGGTGTGGTGCTCAAATTGGTTTCGTTGGTTTTGGAGATCCACGGATCTCCACATTGAGATCTTAGATTTGGTGTGATGTTGAGATCTTAGATTTCTTGGATTTTAAATGTCACAATGATGTCACATGGAAACCTGGAGAAAAAGAGAACACTGGACTTCACCAACTTGATAGGGCTTTTCATGGTGTGTATGACGTTGCTAGTGAAGAAAAGCGGGTCACGTTTGGCTCCTCAAGGTGTTGTTTTCTGCACAAGGACGTGGCATCGTCCTGCTTGGGTGCTGCAGTTGGCTTGCGGTTTTTTGGCACTTTCCAGTCCTCCAGGTGCTTCGCTTGCTGCTGCTTAATGAGCTGGTGGAGACTGGAGCTGAAAATGAGGACTGGCAGCATTTCTTCTCCAAGCCCTGAAGAAATGTGAAGAAATGGCAGATCATGATCATGTGGCCAAACAATATAATATATATAGGCATATATAGGCCAAAGGAGTGGTCAAAAGGCCATCCGACAAGTATGTTTTATGGCTGACCAACCGGTTATACTTCTTGCCACCATCAGCTATTTACACTTCAACACGAACTGTTGATGGCTGGTGGTTTGGCCATCAGCCCCCACCCGGGACCTCGTCCACCGGGGAATCTCCAGGAGGTCGTTTCCATGCAGCTCATCGACAAGGCCGCTGAGTTGACCTCCAAGGCGCTCCGCGGGCGGTCGACCGGTCAACTTGCCTGGAGGACGGCGGTGACACACGCGGTGGGGGGCGTCGCAGGAAGTGAAGGAGCTCATCAGCCGAGGGGCCAACATCAATTACAGGAGACCGAGACAGCTGAAGACGACACCGCGCGGTTTCGCGCGCGGCGTGGGGGGGTGTTTGTGGAGCCCTGGGGCACATCTTCTTGGAGAGTGCTTGGATTGGGACACGATAAAGTCAATAAAGACCATGAATAATGGAATAATAAGGAATACTATGAAAGCATTGTAAAAACCGCTTGGCATTCTGTTACTGAGAGGTGAAGTATTCCGTTGAAACTCTGCGTCCGACAGGAACGATCGTGGATGGACTCCTCTGACAGCTGCTGTGATCGGAGCCCAGCGGAGCCCAGCATGTCACATGCTTCAGTGAATGTGCTGCTGAAGTTTTGTTTGTTCTCACATTCACTGAAGCTGCTGTCTAAACCAAAAACCCTCCAGTGTTGTTCTCGTTTCTTTTGGTTTAGGTTTTTGGTTTAGGAACTGGAGGTTATTTGAATCCCATTCCTGGCTGGCAATGGTTTTGAAGCAGGATGGGGATTGTTGGGATTGCTGTTGGGATTCCTCCTGGCCACGTTCTGCACAAGAGCCGTTGCTGAGGTTCTGGAACAACCAGGATTATGTGGAATGCTTGGTGAGGTGCATATCACTGCTTCTTTCAAACGTAATCGGAATCCCTTGAACATCACCCCAAAAGGGCCTCTCAAGTAGCACATATGTGTCCCAAAGATATCCAAAGATCTGTCATGTCAACTATGCTTGACCTACCATTGTAAAAGCTGAACATCAGCATAGACAGTCGCTTGCATCGCCTGCATCACTTGCTTAGCAGGTTGCCGCACAAAACCGCTCGAACCGCCCTGCAGGCTCCGATGCTGTCAGGGATGTGCGGGTTGGTCTCTGGAGATTGTCCAAGATAGGACCAACAATATCGACAATGTTGATACATGCACATCATTGTTGAAGAATTACTGTAGTAATTAGTTAGATGTAATTATATAGTATAATTAAGGCATAGGCATAAGATTTATTGGGAGATTGTTTTTGGCGAGGTAGGTCATGTGAAGGCGATCGGAGGGATTGTCGAACTTCGGTAGCCCCAAGATTAGATTTGTGAACCAGAAGGAGCTGTGTCATGCAACCCCCACACCCTACAGCCAACTCTACGCTGGTGTGGAGGCCGACCTACCAGACAGCCGTGGACGAACCGCACTTCATGTGGCGGCGCGCAAGGGTTTGTCAGACTGCACCTCAGAGCCTCAGGGTGGGCAAAATAGCAGTAGTTTCGAAGAACATCTCTGTTTTGTGTCGGACCAAGCAGCATGCATCCTATTGAGCTTTGCACTTGTGCAATTTGAAGAATTGTCATAATTAAGGATTTGGTGCCACTGATCCTTGGTGCCCGAGCAAACCAAGACGCACGCGATGGAGATGGCTGGACCGCTAGTGATTGGCACTGATCCCGATGGGAAGACACACAAAACGGTGGAAAGACATCCGTCCCTCCGGATTCAAGATTGAATTCTATTTTTGTTGATCCACCAGATGGGAAGATGAAGGATGATATGAGATGAGACCAAACCCCTCAGTCATGGCCACCTGGCTAGGACAGCGCTGCACCATGCGGTGTTCAACGGCCACACGGAGACAGCAGCACCCTTAGAGCGACTTTCGATGAGGAGGTCCCAACTGCTCAAGGAATCCCATGCCGTCTCAAACATGCTTAGCAAGTCTGAGAGTCGTAGTTTCATGAGAATTCACACAGACTTTCAAGATTGTTCAAGGATCTATTTAGGGTGTTCTGTTTGTTTGTTCAGAGTTCATGGGTGTTTCAGGTATTCCAGGGGTTGCATCATGTGATATGTCAGCAACTGCCAGAAGACCGCCCTTTTCCCCGCAGACCACCGAACATCGAGGTCATGAAGCTGCTGGAGGGGGCAGCGGACCCTCGGGTGCCCGACGGCAGGGTGTGGACATGTGTGGACTAAGACTGGAAGAGGCTCCCCCTGCAAGCTACTCAGTTGAGAGTAGATGGAGAAAATGCACAAGCTTGGTGGTTTACAGTATATGGACCTTGAGCTGAGAGACATTTTGTTGGGGTTCCGTCTTTGAAACCAATGTAGATGCCTCCCGCACAAGATGATGCCTAGTGAGTATGTTGTCATCTTTGTGGGGGCGGTGTCATGCGCAGCTGATGGGGTTTTACGGGCCCACCATTGTCAGCTGCGACTTCATTAGTGTGATTCTTCCGTGGCCTTTGGCTTTGGCATTCAGAGCTGCTTGGACAGTTGTTCACTAGCACCAAAGACTAAATATATATATATGTGTATGTATATATATATGTGTGTGTGTGTGTGAGAATGGTTGATGCCGTGCTTGAAAGAAAGCTCGTCTTTGTGATAACACAAGACCTCAACCAGAGTCTTTCTGCTGTAAACACTCAGTGTTGATCCACGAACCTGGTGACCCTTTAAAATCTTTAAACGTCGCCGCAATGGCATCGCAGCTTGCTACCCTCCAGGTTTTCGCCTAGTGGCTGGGCACCTTTGGGATGGTCAAATAAGAATTCACATATCATGCGCAGCCAAATGGCTGTTGCCAAGTTGCTGATAGACTTGGTCGAAGTGAGAGTTTGCTGATATGGGCCAGGCATGACAGTCTTCTCCAGTTTGAGTCTGTCATAAAACATGTGCGCCGGTGCACCACTTTCTGGCTGATCATGAACGTGTATGGCTCAAAAGGCCCATCATGGCTTTAGAGGATTCAGAGGTCTGGGCCTGGAAAGCAATGCTGTAACCATTGAAGTCACTGGATATCTCCGATTTGAGTGCGTTGAAATCCCACTATCCTGACCTACCCTGATTCTCCTGTTCCTTATCCTGCAATTCGTTCTATCATCCATCCCCCGGTCTCCCAGGCATTCATGCCAGGCGTCCGCGGCTTTTCCGCCCACCCCGCGCCGCCGCCTCCTCCGCCGAACGTGAACGCGAACGATCTGCACAGCGCGCCGACGCCGACGTTGAACCTGGACGAGCTGAACGAGTCGGAGCAGTTCGAGGAAGATGGAGGGAGGACAGTTCGAGATCATAGAGTGACGGTTTTCGTAAAGGTACTGGTATGTACTGGTGTCCTGATATCTCCAAGTGACATTCAGGACATCTTGTGACTCATGACTCATGACCCTCAAGGGAGTGGCTTGGGCACTTCTCTTCTGACTGACTGCCACCCTGCAGGAGCCATGGCAGAAGTGCTTGAGCGGAATGAATTTGGAGCAGTGCCAGCAGATCTATGACAGCCTCAGTCAAGAACAGAAGGACTGATCCATATCCACACTGCTAGGCTCGTGCGGGCTCGGCGGGATTTCCTGGGGTGCGAAACTGGTGATGTTGATGTTCATGGCTCGGGGCAAAACTCTGCGCAGCAAGACCAGCTTCCTAACTTCTAGTACCCTGTCGGTACGTGCTTGCCGAGATGCTTTGCAGGTGCATTGTAGTTCCACCTGCCAGTCAGCCAGGCTGCAGTACCCTCCTTGAGTGTGAGTCAGATGTGCACCGTGAAACGTTATGTGCCCACTTCTGATGCGCTTACCGCGGTCGACTCGTTTTGATTTTTCAGGACCAGCTGGCATCATATGGCTTGGTGCCAGAGTGCTGTGGATTGAGCGCGACACCCGAAGAAGCAGCGACCATGTGTCGGCCCCTTGTCACCTACGTGCACCGGTTGCGTAGGAGGTTCGGTTGATGGTACGAAATGGGCATGGACCAAGCGCATCTAAAAACCTCCAGCCTCTTTTTGCCTGGGCGAGCCCAAAGTTCCTACGTGAGCGCCGAGGTATGTGGAGTTCAAGGGAGACGCATCAGCCATGGAATTAGAGAATGTGATGAGGAGAGGGTTCTGTGCTTCGTGATTTTCAAGGCAACATAATCATAAATCCACCAACTGTAATTAGATCTATTGCGGACTTCACTCACTCTGCAGTCGATGGGTTCAAAAAAGCAACCTTCTTGGGTTCATCATGAGGCAGAGCATGGACCTCCCCAACGAGCAAACTCCAAACAGTAGTCAAGACCTCTCAAAAATCCATTGGTTGCTAGCTGTTTCGGGAACATCATCAGAAGCCAAGTGAGAAGGTGATGGACCAGGTTTCCCATGAACACTTCTCCATGCAACGCACATCTCCAGGATTTCCAAGGGTCTTCGAGGGGATGGACTGACCTTCGCGTGTGATGGCACCTACCGCGTTCGCCACGCGGACCCAGAGTCGCCCATCCACATCTTGAGCGAATGTGGCGACAGCCGCTGCGGTGCGCATCGGCTGAAGTTCCCCGAGGTTCGGCAGCGATTCCGCAGCTTCATCACGCGCAGCATTCGGAGGTCCAAGAAGGAGCTTCTGGGGCTACTTTTGGGTGGTGAAAGGTAAAAAAGAATCACAAAAGCAAGCGGTGCTGAGTTTCAAAAGAAACCGGACTGCCGGATGAGTTCCTCTTGTCGGGACTGATTCCTTTGCAAGAGATGCGGGAACAATGTACAAACTCAGGATATGAAGAGCACCTAGTAGAGCACCTCTATTGCCACATGCTTGCAGGATGTTGCTTGGTGGAGGGATGGACTGCAGTATGCATCTTTGGGCAGTGGACACCTACTCTGGGACTGTGACTTGGCGGCTGCGTGTCGTTCAGAAGTAACTCAAGCGTCGGTTATATAGATACTGCAGATGCATCATCGAGAAACCCCAGGGGTGCAGTGCTGTGGCCATTTACAATATTTTGAGTCCCTTGGCCCTAAGCCATCAAGTGGAAACAACCAAAGAAAGGCATCGGTCCGTGTAGCGCCATCACTGAGGCGAAATTCTGGAGCGGATCCGTGCTGAAGGTATCGATCCACGGCCAGAGTGGAGTCGACTAATAGTGGCTGCCTAGGATTTTTTTGTGGAACATTTAAACCTGCCACACTGGCCAGGTATTCAACGTTTCGACCTGCCGATGTGGGTTTATGGTTTAATATGGAAAGCCCCAATCTATGGGTTGCTTTGGAAAAGTCGCATCTCACTACTTTCACTGTAAGTTGTTTGACCATCGATTCTGTAACAGTTATGAATGAGTGCTCCGCGTGCTCCTGCGTTTGAATTTATGGCCAAGGAAATCCGACAGATTTGCTTGATTGACATGGCTTATGCCAAGCCTGATGACATCACATTGTTGGTGCTGCAAACCTTTGCAGATTGGCAGGCTGAAGCCGAGTCAGCTCGTCCACTGTTTAGCAGTATTACATTCATTGTACAAGTTTCTAAAGCCAAATAAGAGGAGTAATTGAGATTTGTTGGGGTCAAGTCGCAAGAGCATGTAGTTTTTTCAGGCACAACAGGTCACGAAAGGTAGCCCTTTGGGGGATACCTTGAGTTTGTCTTGCGAAGCAAGTGTTGGGACGTCCGGGTCTAATAATTGATCGCTCAATTCAGACCCCCCCCACCCCCCCCCCCTGTAATTGATTTTCCATACAGCCCCCCCCCCCCTCCCCCCCTCTAAAATCAATTCTCTCCTGGAGAACGTCTTCGTCGTGAGCCTCTCATGATTTCAGGATAGTTGAAACCCTCTTGAACATTCAGAAAGAGTGAATATGAAATTCTAATCACGAAAGGTGTTCCCCGAGGGGATACATACCTAGAGTTTGTTTTGTGAAGCACGTCAATTCTCTCCTGGGGAGCGTCTTCGTGAGCCTCTTATGGTTTCAGGATAGTTCAAATCCTATGATGTTCCGATTCAATGCTCACCGATGATCTGAGCCATGGGGCAAGTTTGTTTTCCTAAGAACCTTTTTGAACATTTCGAGAGCATATGTTTGAACATTTAGAGTGCATATGAACATATATTTACGAAAGGTCGCCTAAAGGTCGCCTCCGAGGGGATAAATCACCATGTCGAACATTGCATTTTTGTTCCTGCCTCTCGCGTTCTCTTCTCTTCCCGCTGTCCTACCTTTCGTGTCTCCCTCCTCTCAAGTGACTATTATTGACTTTCTTAGAGGTCAATTTGCGCGAGTATTGGGTCAGATTTACGCAAGTATTGATATTGCGAAGTTTGTGCGGAGTAAGAAGCTAGGTTTACTGAGATCAAACTACAGTACACAAGTATTGGCGGGCTTTTGGCTGGAGAGGCATCAGGATTATAGTTGACTCGTGGTTTATATATTCATGTGATGTGAACATTATATAGTCTTGTAGAGGTTGAAGCCCTAGATGTGGATGATATGGCTGAGCTGGCTCTGGAATTGGGTACGAGGGCGGGGGAAAAGCCTCAGCTGTTGAGACGCTGTGGGAGTGCATATGGGAGTGGGGTGTGACTTCTTTCATCGAAACTTGTGGAGAAGGCAATGTAGAGAGCGAGAGGGAGAAGGGGCGCTTTCTTCACGAAGGCTGCGGTGGCAGAGCTTTGGGATGAGCCAGCACCACAAGTACTAGCTTTCCCAAGTGCCCAAGCCTATTTTGATCATTGCGGGCAAGGTGCCTTGGGATTTCTGGAGCGCAGGTATGAGAACTCTGGGGCGGCGTAGGAGACCTGGTTGCGTTGGGGGTATTGACATTAGAAGTTGAAAAGCACCGTCATGGGTCAACTGCTATCCGCTGGTGCGAGGTGCCTATGTTAGGCCTTTCCAATGCCTATGTTGGGCTAACGTTTTCCTTTTGAAGGGTTTAAGCTTTGAGCCGCTCGCAGGAGAAATGCTTCCCAAACTGCCAATGTTTAGTGCAGGGAATTCCGTGACCTCCTCTTGGTTTGAATTCGATGAGTGCTCAGATGAAAAACACAGGAGTTCCATCCTCCCGTCAGGTGGAGTGGCCGCTGGCTGCAATCTCTTTATGCACTGTGATGCTGCATGGCAGGGCTCGGACGAAGAGTGCCGGCGCTTGGCCGAGAAGGCCTTGGTCTCCACGGGTGCCTTGGATCGCTGCAAGCCG